TTTTTTAATTTGCGGCGCACCCTGTATATTTTTGAAAAATTGTCAAGAATAAAAATTTATATTCTCTGCGTCTTCTGGTTCAAGAATGTTTTCGGTCTTGCAAACGCGATTTTTATTTTTTTTTTTAATACTTCCCCCCCCCCCCATTTTCAATAGGATCTGTCAATATGTGCCAAATATGAAGTCGATTGCTTCAAATTTCGGACACTTATCGTGTTTCATAACAATGTTCAAAAGACAGTCGAAAATCGCGAAAAAAATATGGGAGGCAAATTTCAATTTTGTAGCTTTAACGATTCGAAAATTATTCAGGAAAAACCAAAAGACGAGAACGGAGAACGGACAGACAAAAAAAATTGTTTTTTCGACGCTGATCATTTATGTACCAATTTCGATCCCATGGGTCCTAGCGTTACCGAGAGTAGATACGTTCGAAAAATTCGATTTTTCGAAAGTAACAAGGTTTTAGTGTATTTTGCCATAACAGCGAGCGAGGGAGACTATATCACCATAATGAAATAGAGATAGAACGAAAGTCTCCCATAAAGCTAACCACAACTATAAAATATAATACCTAGATGTTTTGCTTGTTGGACGATTAGGATAGTTTTGTTATTTATTTGACCTTTTAGATTGAAGTCTATCTCTTAGTTTTGTATTTTCGTCTATTACTATTAATTGTGACTTGTGCAAATATATTTAGTTTTTGCAGATCGAAGTTTAGCTCCTCTAGTGTTGCTACAATGTTCTGTTGTTAATGGGCAAATGCTGTCGTCCGTATATTGTCTAAACTTTGAATTTTCACGCTATCTTTCGTATCGGCACGTACATTGAGCAAAAACAATGTGGAAGGAACCAAGCCCTGTGGCAAACCGTTTCTGATGATTTCAAAGTCAGTTTTTTTCTATCCTCGGGTTGTCAATATATATACATATGTATTTCATTGGCAATTTAATTAACTCAAAAACTAAATGCGGTTTTGGAATGAATTTAGACTCATCTGTTGCCCTTATGAATGTGACTTATGATCTTAATTAATTAATTAACCTAAACTAACCAAAACTATCCTTATTATATGAGATTATTCAAAGGCATTTGTTACAATAAATCATTAACTTCTTGTATCTAAATTAAAATATTATGGTTTTGATAATGCAGCTTCAATTCTTATATGATCCTATTTAGCCAATAGGTTTGTCTATACAGGGCAATAATAATTTATCTGATCAGGTACATATTACATGTGGATACTGTAAAGTACAGGCATTCGCTAAAGATACCCAAATTTATTTTTCTTTTTATACGGAAGATAGATTTCTTGGGAGCTCTTAGAATTATCAATACGGACTTACAAATATTAAGTGATCTTTCTAAAAAACACAACATGAAACTTAATCCTGAGAAAACTCATTTTATTATTTTTGGGTGAAAAAATAAGGTGGTTTTTCTTAAAAGCAATGTTAAAATCTCTATAGGCAATATTAAATTTGAGAGAGAGAGAGGGAGTTTCACAAAAAACACACTTTCATTATACCAGACTAATTAATCACATTATTAAATTAAAAAAATAACTAGAGATGAAATCTATGGTATAACAGATTTGAAGGACTATTTCAACTTTATTCAAATTAGTAATCTAATTTATTATTTATTTATTAGGGACAAAATCCATATTTAGTAATTTTTTTTTCTTTCCTTTTTAAAGTTTTTTTGTTCTAACAAAGTGGGATCTATTGGAGTAGTCTTATAAAATTGTATTTGTATTATAATTTACTTGTTCTTCTTTTATGACAATAAGTGCTATATAATAGTAATAATAGTAAACTTAAGTGTTGAAAATTTTAAATATTTAAAAAATATTTACTTAATATATAACAAACTAACATGTAATCAAAATTTTATGATTTTGCTTATGAGTGCAAGTTAGTGACTAACTAAAATTACAATTTAAAAGTATATGCATATTATTCTTTATTTAAAATTCAGTACCTAATCTACAATGTGCTTCCTGATTCGGTAGAGTAGTTATCATTAAAACATTAATAAATCAATATTAATAAACGACTGGTGTTTTGACATTTGCAAGAATTATGAAGGAATATTTGTCCTTCTGGAAACGCGTAAAAACACCACAACGCATCTCGAATAGTTAATATGACCTGTCCATTTGGCTGTTCCTCCAAATCATTTGTAGATTGTTATTTTTGGTGATCCAACAATCATTTCTTTAATATACTAAATAAATATAATAAAATGCATTATATGAATAAACTGAAAAATTCAAAACTAACTTTAGTATTGGTTGGGATGCGAAATTAATCTTTTCGTTCATTGGTTGTAAATAGAATAGGTTGTATTGATACAACGTGCGTGGTTTTGATACGATTTTTAATTGTCTTCCGGAATACTTGATAAAATAGTTAGTGTGAACATCTTAATTTTAAAAATTGACAATTGAATCGCGTAAGTATTTCGCCGTAACCCATTTCTTATTGCATTCGAGCAATTAGGTTTATTTCGAAGGAAAATCGGGTCCTATATTTCCCGTCGCGGCGATAATATGCCGCACATACATCGAACGGCACGGAAATCGATTCACTTATTATACGTTATTTCCATAAGTATCAAAGTGCGACGGGACAGCCGCGGAATGCACATTACACCGACGCGTACAAAAAAAAGTAATACGTAAATTTGTTGTGATCGCGCGGTAACCCGTAGAGACGACTCCATTTCCCCCCGTTTTATTCAAGTTCAGCGCCTACTTATTGCAACGGCGCCAATCAATGAGTTCCATGCCGCTTTTCGCCGGAATATGGGCAATACATAAACACCGTAACCTTGACACGAATAGTTAATATCCCACTTCTGAACTGTAACGGACCAGGCGCGGCGGGGTCAAGTGCTCTGATTGTATTGCGTTATTTTCGTGCGTGACGGGGTTTTATCGCGAAAATGGGGTGACGAGGTGTGTACCACTCCGACTCCTTCGTATAATGGCCGTTCTTTGAACCGCTATTGGTATATGCCCGTTTCTCCGAAATTTAACTCGCAACTACCTGTTGTCGAGAAACTGTCGAATCGTACTTTGTAATGTTTTAGAACCATAAATATAATTGTAATCAAAATACTATTTCGGTGAAATCATCATCAACTTTATTTTGTCATATGGTCCGTGAAAAAACTACACCATGTATTAAATAGCATTTTTTATTACGAATGCAACGACGCACGACACAATGTGATTTTATTAAATTTTCAATGTTTTGCTGTAGCAGATAACGTTGAGAAAATGTCAAAAGCACACCAAAACATTAAAAATTTATGTTTTTGTTATTTAAACAATGTCGTATAAAGTATTTTTAATAAAAAATGGTATTTAATACATGGTAAAGTTTTTCCCAGACAAAAACAGAAAAAATATATTCATTCATTCTATTCATTTTTTAAAAAGAAGTTAAATAAAAATAAACACAAAATTTTAAATTGCAACAATCCTTTAAGTATTAAAAAAATATATTTTGTGTTAAAAACTCTGCACAGTTTACTACCAACCAGGAAAAGTACTATATTGGAATTGAAATAATACATTGTCTTTTATTTTATTATTTTCTTTTTTTAAGGAACGTCAAATGACCAAAAGATTTGATGCCTCATGGCTCATGACTGAAAACCAAACAATCATAAATTTCGGCGTTTTTTCTAATTTTTGATATCAGATAAATGAAATCGCTGGGGCTCAAAACGGCAAAGAGACAATAAAAAAATATAGGCTAAAATAGTCACAGTTATTCAAAAGGACCCATTTCTCCAACAGTGAAAGATAGATTTACATCAGATTTACATCGTTTGGATTTATTTCAATGCAAATATGGCACTTTTTTGATCTGTGCGGTTAGTATATAACATATTTAGGCAATACATAAGTGCTAGTAGATTATTACTAAATAGCCTAGCCTACGGATCCTTTTATAAACCTTATCCTTGTTAAGAATATCATACGACCATGTTCAAATATAAATAAATAAATAAAAATAATATAAATAAATAAATAAAAACTAAAATTTGGGTAAATAAGTATTTCTTTGGATTGAATTCAAAAATCTCTTAATTTGCATTACAGGCGGCGCCAGGGAAATTATAAAGAAAAAAATACGAACTTAATAAAATTTTATCAGTACTGCCCTCAAATTTCACAAAAAAATCGAAAAAGTTTTCAAACTGTAAGAAAATACCGTCAACTTCCACTGACATTTAAAAACATACGCTTCCGCTACTACTTCACCTACGTTTTACCTAAATATGCAGTTTTTGTTGATTAACTTCTTTGAATATTGACGAAAAATGATATATCATAGGTGGTAACTATAATATAGCAATTCAGAAATGCATAAAACAGTTCATAGTAAACCCTTTTTCTGAGGGTATAAACACCGCTGTTCTTACCTATTCTAAAACATCCAATTAAATACGGATCAAGCGTGCGAGCCACTTGTTTATGATTTAAACTACTAAATAGAGAACAGATTGAACGCAACGTTTCTTGCGAAGCAATTTCCCATAACTATGAATACAACTCGTCTCCATTGGAAAATCAAAAACTGAGCGCGTTCAATTCAAATAATGGGTCACCGTATAAATATTGTAGAGTAAACAAGTCGAATTCTCCGTTTGTGTCTGTTCGATGCATTTTTATTATTCATTATATGTAGGTCGATCGTACATACGTTGTCGTACCAAGCGTATGCACCTTTGCGAAGAAATTCCATCAATGCGCAACGGTAGACGCAGCAGAACCGCAGATTGCGAATTTGTTTATTTTTGCAACAAAAAAAAAATGACGTAACGTCTAATTTGAAAACAGTTATTCGCATACCTTGAAATCACAGTTACCTATGTTGTCGTTGGAAAACTGTGCGTGGAAATTTCCGGATTTGTTTATTTTCGCAACAAAAGAAAACATGATATAACATCTAATTTGAAAACAGTTATTCGCATACCTTGAAATCGCAGTTACCTATGTTATCGTTGCAAAGCTGTGCGGAGAAATTTCCGGTTCCGATTTCTTTTCAAATTTCAAACACCCGCAATTTATTATACGAGATCGATTATTTCTGATGCGTTACCGAATCCGCTTTTATTCCTAATAGAACTGACCGGCTGACCCGCTAGCGAAGTTGATTTCCGACGATTAGAAAGCAGCTTTCCATGCGCCCCGTCACCCCATCAGGGCCGAATTGGCCCAATTAGCACGGGCACAGACCACTAAACAATGGCATTCTGTGGCGCCGGCTTTTGAAAAAGTTAAGTTTTATTTAACTGTCACACGTCAGTACATAAAGTCGATTCTAACCAAATTTATTAAACCCATATTGAGCAAAACCAGTAGATTTTTTTAAAATATTTTTTCGGACATACCCGAGCTATATGAAAATTGAATTCTTCTTCTTCCACAACAATCACTCGAACAACCGGTCTGACTGACAACGAAACAAAGTACCACGAATTTGGAAGGTTCTTTTTTTGTAAAAAGTGAAGGGGAACATATTGCACAATCTCTTTTTTCGTTAATAAATATGGGAGATACTCATTTAGACAATCCTCCTAAGTGCTACCAAAGTAGGAGAATAACCTTGTCGGCGTGTCATCGACTACATAGGTGAGAAGGCTGAATTTCTAAAGATTGTCTAAGATTCTGTTGTAGTCAATATTTAAGTGACGAAGAAAATGCGAAAATTTACGGAAAATGCAACCATGTGAACGGACACGGCCACAATTACGTTGGTAAGGACATTTTACCGCTTTTATTGGCATTATTACAAAATGTTCCAGTAAAAGTCACTCTCTATGGGGAGATTGACAAAAAAACGGGAATGCTGATGAATCTTACCGATTTAAAAAAATGCATGGAAGAAGCAATTATGGTGCCAATGGACCATAAGAATTTGGATAAAGATATTGATTTTTTCAAAATCTGCCCAAGCACAACAGAAAATGTTGCCATATTCATTTGGAAGCAAATGCAACAAATTATGGACCGACCCAAACTTCTTTACGAAGTCGAGATACACGAAACCGAGAATAACATCGTCAGATATAGAGGAGAGTGAATCTGCATTCAAGACATTCTATTTTTTTATTATATGTAATATATTAATCTCAAAATAGATCAATTTACATTCACTGGGTCGTCGCGTTTTTCCTCCAGGCCCATAAATGTTCAGCCCCACACTTAAACCAAATTACAAAGCTTGAGCATTTCAACTAGATAGTGACGGCGATAAATTTGTTCCTAAGACATTGGCTTTGTATTTTAACTTCTCTACATTCTCTGCTGACTGCAATTTTTCTTCACTTAACAATCTTTCCTTACGTTGCTCTTCAATGGACTCTTAAAGAGAGGAACTGTATAAATATATTATGCAATTTCTTGAGGACTTACTATGATAAGGCGTATAATTATCCGATAATATGTTTTCCAAATTATAACCTATAAATCCAACGACCGCCGCAAAAGGTAGGGTTACGTATGGGGCGTAGGCCCTTAAAAATCCATAAATTACCGGCAACATTGTGATTTATCTCAGTACCTGCATCAAATACTAACAAATGGTTTTATCCAAAACGTTCAAACTATCTTGCCAATTCAATTATGCGTTTCTGAGTATAAAGTATATAGGATCATTCGCCCATCTTCGACGGTCGAAGTTCGACCTCCATTGAAGATTTTTGATATAAGAAAAGATTGCAATCAAAAAACAGTGAGTGGATTTTGCAGGGAGCCGACAAAAAACGACCTGGAACGTCCAATGCCACCCCCAGAATCATCTCAAAATAACGTGCAATTTTATATCCGCCTGTTACTATCGGGCCAATTGTCCAATTTTGATATATTCATTAAGCGTGGACATCATATGACGGATTGAGGAAGATGAACTTGCACTTAACCCCGTTTTCGTTTAAAATTGTTTGTTAAATCTATATTTTGGGTTTCCTAGGACACCGTATAAAAATGCGACAATCGTTTGCTATCAACGAAGATGTAAGTGAGTCTCTTTTACAATGACCGACTGGTTTTCTCTAATCAAAAGGGCCAAAAAGTCGTGTATTGTGGATCATAATTTGAAAAAAATTCACTATGACTTCGGAGACAATAGAGAAATGGTAGAGGAGTATAATCTGACAACTAAACTGTTAAACCGAAGAGCGTGGCGCATGAAAAATGAGCTTAAGGGTGAACCGAAGTGGGAAGTGGAACTGGGAGATCCTGAACCAATATACAATTGTGTCGACAAGTGTATGATACGCGAAAATGCTGATCAGGTGTGCAAGTGTGTGCTGCCTTAGCTGGCAAAGATATTAATTCTTATTTTGCAGCCATTTATCTGTAAACGTAACACAAAATTGAATTTGGAGTGGAGGATACGTAATTTGCCATATCCCTTAGAAGTTTATTCAGTCACAGCGGATCAGGACTCCCAGCAGTTGATTGTAAGAACCACAAACAAGAAGTATTATAAGAGATTGGATGTTCCAGATCTTCAAAGATTAGGGATTGATTTAGTGCAGGCAAATGTTGCCTTTTCCCATAGATACAACACATTGATCATAACAGTAATATATTTGCCCCCATGATTTTCTTAATAACTATATCTTAAATTTTTAGTATAAGAAACCCAAGCAGCTGTTGGATTTTGAGAAAAACATGTTAGAAGTAATCAAAGGCATTGAACCTCAGAAATATGGAGAAGGGTTGAATGACTGTAAACCTAGTTAAATAAATTGATAATTGTATTAACATGTAAAATGTTTTATCTAATTACCTTTTACCAAATATATAGAATAAAATTTAGGGTTCTCTGTTACTTTAAACAATTTTCACAGTTAACAAATTAAGAAGTTTCGGCTGAGTCTACTAACTGGTTATGGCTGAAGCAGAAGTGGTGATGGTGTAATTTAAATTTTTAAAGATAAAAGAGGAAGAAAAGTACATAACCAATCGGAAAAATGAAACAAAAACGTTCCGCGCGCACCGATACTGCAAACAATTTGAGCGTTAAGCGTCCTCTTTTACCAGGAATATCTTCATTTTATAGTTATGCGGATGTCGAGAACCCGCCACTCTACGAGTCATCATCGGATGATGAGCAGCAGCAGGAATTTGTTAAGAGGAAGAAAAAGTTGAGTCGCGCGGAAAGAGTAGAGTTAATAAAAAAACGGAACGACGAGATTTTGAAGAAAGAAAATGAGCTCGCCAACCTGACAGAGCCTAAGAACTCTGAGCATTTTGAAAGGCTCCTGTTGGCTGATCCCAATAATTCAGAGATGTGGATCAGGTATATCGCCTTTCATGTGGCTTCAACGGAAATAAATAAAGCGAGAACGGTTGCAAAAAAAGCACTGGAAACTATAAATGTGACTAGGATAGAAGACAAATTTAAAGTGTGGGTGGCATTACTCAATTTGGAGAATATGTTTGGGACAAAAGAGTCTTTTGAAAGTGTATTTCAGGATGCGGTAAAGTACAATGATGCTTTGCAGATTTACTTAAAGGGGATACAAATGCTGGCCGAGGCGGGGAAATACGAAGAGATGGAGCAGAAGGTTAAAAAAGTGAGAGGCAAGTTTAAACAAGAATTGCATATGTGGTTGGATCTGGCTAAAATCTACTATCAATTAAACAAATTCAAAGAAGCAAGGAACTGCAAAGAAGGCGCTTTGCGATCCATACTTGACAAGAAGACACAAATAAATATAATTGTTCGATTTGCTATTATGGAATTTAAACATGGAGAGCCTGAACAAGGTTGTGCAATATTTGAAACCATCTTGACAACTGATCCCAGGAGAGTCAATATTTGGTGCACATACGTGGATCAGTTGGTAAAAAAGGGTGACATACCACAGGCAAGGCAAGTGCTTGACAGGGCTGTAAGTCAAAAGTTACCACTGAAGTGTATGAAAACTTTGTTTATGAAGTTCAGAAAATTTGAAGAGAGTTATGGTACAGAAGTGAGTGTGGGAGCTATCAAAGTTCGAGCCGCGGCTTACATAGCTAGCATTAAGTAACATAATAATAAGCTTTTGGTAACTAATTTTATAAATAAATCTAATTTTGTTTATCTTTGTTTAATTTACTCTTAATTCCCCATAAAATAATGTATAATACTGGGCAAGTGACATTCGCATAGGAAGAAGATTAATAATACATAACCTATTTTTATACCAGGAAGGAAGTTATAGATCATTCTAAATTTTTGTAATTTTGAAATAGTTTTAATATTTAGCAAACAATGGCTGATAGGCTCACTCAATTACAGGATTGCATAAATCAGGTTAGTTCTTTGGGTAGTTGACCATTTGATTTTTGCAAATAAAATTTTCAGCAAGCAGAGCACTTTTGTAACAGCATCGGCATTCTACAGCAATTCGCACCACCTAGCAAATTTACTAATTTTGACAGGACAGGGTCCCAGACGCCCCAACAACAACAAACTCAGGTAAAAGTATATAATGGCTAGTTATATTTTTTGCAATTAACAATTGCTTTGTACAGGAAGACTATGTTCAGTTGTTTACAACTTTGATCGCTAGATGTGCCAAGGATATTGACACCCTTATAGAGTCATTGCCTAGCGAAGAAAACTCTACAGAGTTGCAGGTTACACTAGAGATCGTAAAGCATATATGCAATGTTATTCATTTGGATTTTTCAGTTGGCCAGTCTAAGAATTTTGGAGCAGGAAAATCAAGAGGCAGCTGAGCGTTTAGATGCTGTAGTTCGTGGAGGTCAAGATTTACTTGAAAAAATTCAAGCTGCATTGAGCGATATTGCTCAGGCTCAGCTAGACATGCAACATCTTACGAAAGTTGCATCTGGTGGACGGGAATGATTAAGGGGTGTACGGAGGGTCAGAAATCTCACGAATTTGACCCTCGCGTAAAAACTGATGAGTGTATTCAAAAGGCTGCATTAGATATATATGTTACATTAATAACTTAGGTTAAGCAACTAAAAATTTATTAAAAAAAATATGTTACCTACTGCGGGGTTTATTTGTAATAGTTTTGCTACATTTCACAAACATATTGAAGCAGTGTACGAGAAAAATCAAATGCTACCCATATGGAGCAGTTTTATTTAAGTTTGCTAAAGAGGTCTTTGGTGACGCAGTGATCTACAGCATGGAGCAAGTCAAAAAGTTCTTCAGTACAGGTTTCGGCTGTTTGGCTGCGCGAGTTTACTCTATCATTGCAAATCTGATATCTTTCGGCTAATTCCTTACAGTGTTGCGATTCCCGGCATTTTTCCTAAAATAATATTTACCTGTTTTTTAATTATTAAATTTTGCGGTTATTGGAACTTTACCCTTAGAACCTCCTGGGGATCTACGAGCTCTTCGTCAGCTTCCTGCGCCCTTACGGATGGCAATTTTCGGACAAATTTGTCGAAGAACATTTTTTTGGGTAATATTCAGTTCCTTGAAAATCCTTTTTACGTAATAATCTACCAGAGTAAGTTTGCGTTCCAAAGAAAAGTGTACTAAAATGTGTTTCAAAGATAAAATGAGTGGTGAGTCTCAAGATGGTGTAAATCTAGCTTATATTTGTTCTATTTCTATTAATTTCAGCTACTCTTGAGTTCAATTTAAAATAAAGTATTTTTTAAAGCTTCGGGCCAAATGTTGTTTCGAATTAACAAATATTAATTAAATTTTATGCAAGTACAGTTTGTAATGACCATTTTCATATTCGCCGTATTCTCTGGCAAAAGTCGAGGTTAGGTGGTTGGGTGATAGATCGTTGTTATTATATTTTCGTAGAAACTGTAACCGCGAGCATATTTAAACAAATCGGTCAATTAAATTATAATCTTTACCCGTTTTCTCGAATCGCCGTTGAAAATCTCGTCCGAAAAACGATGCCAGCAATTTTAAAATTTGACCCAAGTTGATTGATTGTTTGTTTATTGTTATGTTCGCGTCTTTCCATTGAACTTTGTGCGGGCCTAATACAGGTATGAAAAATGCTTCCAAATATTGAAATATTGGTGAATTTTATATCTTCTCTATAGGATGAACGGCATGGATCACCGAAGTCATGGAAACCAAAACACCAAGCCAAAGAACTACAAACTCCTAGTTGATCCCTTTTTGGTAAAGGGTAGTCCTAAGCTCTACCGCTATGATGGAGTGGTACCCAATGACAATACCTACCCCCCAGTCACTCTTAGAGATCCGCGTTCTCACTTAACAAGGATATGGACCCGTCTGGAGACACTGGAACTGCCTGTACCTAGGTGAGGGCTGCAAATGATTTATTAATTCCTTCCCAAAGTTAATTTTCTGTTAATAATCTTTCTTAGGTTACTTTTTTTGTTAGAGTTTCAATTTGTTAATATACCTACCATTTGCGGGATTGGTATTAAGTAGACAAGAGCTTAAGTGAGTTTTAACGCAGATATTTTCAGTTTTTGAGTTTTCAATAACTCATCCCGTTGATTATTGTTTTGGGTACCATAACCTCACTTTTGGAAATATTCGTTAAGTTTTAGGATTTTGGTGATTTTAGGGTTTTATGTTCATTTTGGCTGCTCCATTAAGTGGTGGTTTCGTTTTAAAACAAAATATGCATCAGTTTATAAACAATAGTGTTAATTTGAGGGTTAAGATATATTTAGCACAGAAAGGTAACTTTTCGTGCGTATGCGAAAAAAAGGAATACAAATTTTCAATTTTCAGCCGAAATTAATCGATTGTATGGAGATTCTAATAAAATGTTGGAAAATTACGTACTAAACGAGTTCCTAACCTTATTTCGCCATTAGACGCATTTTTATACCTAATTGTCTTAATTTTCTTAAAAATTTCAATCTATTCTCCCTTTTTCACATGCCGACGATTATATTTGAAAAAAAAACGTGCCAAAATCGTCGGAACTGAAAAATGAGGACGTGTACTTTGACAAATGGCTGACGTCATTCTCGCGTTTACCGGAGCCGTTCGGAAAGTAGTCGAACTTGTGGTTTCAGGTTCAGGGTCGATCACAATTACGTCGGCGAGCCTCCGTCGATCGAGGTGACTATTTTTCACCTAAACGATAACATCGACAAGCAATTTTTGAAAGAGATCGTGCAAAAATTCGGAATTATAGAGGAACTTTTTATATATTATCATCCAGTGACCAACAAACATTTGGGTAAGTGTTTAGAATTATTATTCGGCTGGATTGATAATTAATCGCGTCCGTTTCAGGCATCGGGAGGGTTATTTTCGAAGAGGTTAAATCAGCGAAAGCGTGCGTGGAGAAACTAAACAATACCAGCGTCATGGGCAAAATTTTGGACGTATTTTTGGACTCTTTTGGGGAAAAGTGTAAGGCGAGGTTCGAGGAGCTGACGGCAGAGAAAAAAACCGCCCCCGTTCCCGCGGTTCCGGAAGCCACCCCCAAACCGGAGGCGGAAAAGAAGAAGACCGATGATGACAGGTTACCTTACGATCCTGGCGATAACGACTTTGAGGATCGCCTGTTCAAAGCGAAAGAAAAAGAACTGAAACATCACGACGATTATTCCGAAGAGTTCATGCGCAATTTAAAAAAAGATCGAGACCGGGACCGCGAGAGGGAGCGAGACAGGTACAGTTCGCGGTCGTACCGAGAGTTTTCGACTCCGGGCAGCGCCGACATGGGTTACGGTACCGCATCCAGTGAGTTTTCAGCGACCTATGGATCGACCAACACCACTCCCTTATCGTATGTACAGTCTGTCTATATTTTGTTGTTATTGCGAGGTATCTCGGTTGCTAGTAATGCTAGACAATTCTGGCTCCATAGGTATACAGGATGCGTCAACAAAGTTGCAAGATCGATAAAGATCCACAAGTTAAAAATCTTTTTAGTTAAACAGGGTCAGCCGAAAAGTTAAGTAAAATAAAACTTAACGTTATTCTTAAATTTTATATATTTTTAAATGTGATAGTTTTTAAGCTTTGTTTTGTTTGCCCATACAACTCAAGCTAGGCGTTCAAAATTAATACCATACTTTACCAAAGTTTCATGGTATGCACTCGATGTAATATTTTCGACAATAGATTGTAGAGGGTTTCTGTTAAAAAAATTCAGTAAGGAACATTTTAAATGGAACAACCTGTATTTTTTTTTTGCTTCAATCCATTTGTCTAACAAAGCACTTAACTTTTAATTAGTTTAATTAGTTTAATTTAATTAATATCACAATCCCTTACTTTTTAAGATATTTTACTTAAAATGTTTGAATCAAGGTTGCTTGATTCTTTTTCTAGTGCCTATCCTCTACGGATGTTGGCAAGCATGTTAATCCATACAATCTTGTTGACAACCTCCCTGAATATATGTACAGTCGTCATTCCCGTCCACCGTCTGGTTTTTTTCTGCCGTGATCTTCGTCGTCGCCCCTGATCTTTTCATCCATCTATTTTGCGCTGCAAGATTAGTTGAATAAATTTATATTTCTCATTACGCGACTTTGAGTTGGTTTTGCATTCGCTGAATTATGGTCTTGTTTGTGACGTGGTTGGAGTACAAAGGCCTCCAATTGCTCAGATGTAGCATCTGTCAACGTTCAGCCTTCCACTCCATATAGGAGTGTGATGAATACATAACATCTTAGTACCCGTGTTCTTATTGTAATATTGAGGACTGTTCTGCGGTGGTTAAAAACGGTTCTGACTTTTTCTATGTGGCATATGATCTACCGTGCATGATCCCATTCCTTGTTCAGGATACAGCGCAATTACGTTATTTTAGCTGTTATTTCCAAGATTTCATTATTGGCTCTGGTGGTATTGTGCCTCATCGTTTTTTCTAACTACAAGAATTTTTTTTCTTAAATTGCTTGGTAGAAAGGTTCTTTAAGCTCGACGGGAGCATATTATAATAGTGTGGCTCTGCATAGCCTAAAGATCTTTTGCAAAATATGTGATTCAGTTTAGGCTTCAAGAGATTTTCTCTGTTACGAGTGTAGTGACAATGGTTATCAATATGTTTCTTATCTAAACGTTTATTTTTGTGAGTAACTAGCAGTATTTTAAATAGGTATATACAAGGAACCTTCATTCTTTTGTGTTGCTGAAATATTTCTTTGCAAGACTGTCTCGGAGAAAGTTTAGAAATTAGCCTAAGTATTCTTTTCTGCTGTACAAACACCCTTTCAGCATCACTAGCTTGCTCCCAGTTCACAATGTTGTAAGAAATTGAGGAGTATGCCGAAGCATAATAAAAGACTAATTGATCTCTCAAGAAATGGGCCTCTAATTGTTAATATGGTAAAGAATGTTTTATTTAGTTTGCTACAAACACTATTTATGTCTTGATCCCACCTCAATGATGCATCACTGTAGGATAGTATGCATCCTTGGCTCCCCGATTAACTGCAAATTCTTGGGAGGTTTCGTTGTTTATATGCAGTCGCTCTCTGATGCAAATACAGATTAGTTATGAGGCGCAAGTTTTTGCCGTGTAATTTGTGGTGTCGCACCTTGTCAAACGCCTTCTCGAAGTCGCTAAAACGACCGTAGACATCGCAGTTTACGTCCCTGGCCAACTGTATCAAGACCTGAATAGAAAAAACAAGGCCTCTCGCATTCCCATTCCACTTCTAAATCCGAACTGTACCTTGTTCATATTTTTTTCGAACCTTCTGTGTTATAAGAGTGAATGATGTTAAGTAGGATTTTCAGTAGAGGTTGCTTTAAGCAATTTTATTTAGCTATTGCCGTGGGTAAATAATTATAAAACACTAACTTAAAGTACGGTAACATAAAGTTCAAGAGTTAAGTGAGGGTTTTTTTACTGATGCACTATATACATCACTACATACAACATAATATGTTAACAAAATGCTAATAGTTCGTTAAACATTAGGCATGAAATGACGACAATAAAAACGTCTTTCTGGACATTGCTGTTTCAAAGATTGATAGCAAAAATGCAACAATACTGTGAACTTTGCAAAGAATTTGACGGTTTGAATTACAGAGTGTCTGTCATTTCAGGGTCAAACAAATCGAAGAGGTGTTTCATAGGCGGGTGTACTTGTTTTCTGATTTTGAAATAATGCTCAAAAGAATCGGACGTGGTTTGCATTGCCTCAAAAAATGTGTCCAGTTTATTTAATTTGACTATTTACAATTTGATTATGAAAAACCATGGTGGGAGAATATAATTGCTGAGCGGGCCAGTTGGCGCATGAGATTATAATATAATATTAGAATTTTCATAATTATATTACCATTTGTGCCTAGATACAGGGAGATACAGAAAATTTGGCTATTTCACGTACTTTTTATTTTCATTTCCTTTTCTTTTTCATTTTCATTTACTTATCATAATGGGCTGATGAAAACTGAATCCTGTAATCTTTTTTACGTAAAATCCAGTGGCGTACTCAAATATTTCCTAAGATATGATTTTTAAGATTTGTGCTAAGGTTATGGTTTTATAAGTGGAACGCCCTGTATATGCAGTGTGGCCATTTTAATGTGCAAAATATAGGATTTTTGTTTACTAACTGCACAATTAAAATACTATTATTGCCAAAATTTGGTGCATGTTCCATAAGCATATTAAGCATATAAGCAAATTAATGTATTAAATTTGTGTTCCAAATGCAAATTTTATGTTTGTAGCAACGATATTTAATAACACTTAAAATTTTGATAAAAATTCTTTATAAATAAGCACAGTATTACTAATTATAATAGGCATATTAGCAAATCGTCATTTAAATAGCAAAATTTTATTAGAGCATTTAATTCTAAACAAGTTTTCAATTTACTATTTACAAAATTTATAATGTTTGGCCAATCATCCTGTTGTTAGAGCTGAACTCAAACAGTATTATAGTAGTCTGTGGAAGTTTCTTTGAAAAAAAAAAGTTTTCAATTTTTTTGAAATCAGAGTACTTCGCTCTTGTGAAATTTTTGTATTTTTTGTCCTACCCTGTATGCTGTTTGACTTGAAAATATTTTAAGTGCACATAATATAATAATGGAACATACACCAACTTTAGGTAATATTAGTATTTTAATTTTTGCAATCAGCAAAAGAAATCCCAAATGTTGCACACTTATAGTTGTTTAAATATATAATTGTAAATTAACATATATTTTGAAGGAATTTTAGAAAACACTTGTTTTCTATCTCAATCAATTAATTATTGTTTATTAAATTATTTATAAAAAATACGAATAGAATGCAAAAAAAGGAAACTAATTTTGACCAGGTGGCCGATTTTTTTCGCATAACTTTTCTTTAGGCGTTTACGAAGTTAATTGTTTAAAATGTAGAATCCAGCCTTCACATTTTTAAAGTGGTTTATAAGTTTTGCTATGCTGTATTTATATTATATGTATTATAAATGAAACACCATGCATTTTTTTTTGGTAAAATGCCATTGAGCTTTGTATATGTTTTCGAAAACCGTATAACTATTATGGAATATTTTTAAAAATATTTGTACTTGTTGATTTGGTTCGCTAAAATGAATATTTACAGAATACATTATTATAGTTGTAGTTTATGCCTTATATAGTTATAGTTTTTATTTTTTCTGATAATTATAATAATAATAGTAATAATAATACTAACAATGACAATATTATAGTGGAATACAATTAGGATAGAATTGGCTCGTTTTTTGTAAAATGTCAAAATGTATGTATATTCAGACAAATATATATTTTTGAATTTTTTGAAAATAATAAATTATATTACTTTGCGGTTGGTGGTATCGACTTTTCGATTTTTAGGTTCGATTATCACGGTTTAAGCCAAGCCACGCCCATTCCGCCGCAGTATCCGTACGCCACGCCCACCTACCATGCCATGGGTCCGCCTCCGGTGTGGCCGGTCACGCCCCAGTGGCCTCCGCCCGACCCGTGGGAACGGTCGCCGGCGCCGCCCCCCAAATGGGGCCACGAATCGGAACAGCCGAAACGGACGATCGAAAAGGCACGGGACAGGGACCGGGACCGGGACAAACACAGGGATAGGGACCGGGACCGAGATAAAGACAGGAAAAGGTCCAGCAAGTCGAAGCGGGACAAAACGAGGGACAAGGAGGAGAAAAAGGACAAGGAGAAGGTGGACGAGGAGAAGCCCTTGGATTTGGACACGAGGATCGAGTTGCTCTTGAAAGGGAAGGGCAGCGGGGGCGTGCCGCCGCCCTTTTTGTCGCTGGGGGGCGACTCGGACGAGGACAGGATGAGTTGCTCGCCGCGGGACAAAATGCCGCCCCCGCCTCCAATTCCGACGTCCATCGATAGCGACGACGGTTAGTTGTTTCTGTTGCTGTATCTTTTTTATTACCATTTTATTTATTTATTTATCTAGGGTATACGATAAACATTATAATAATGTAATGACTTTAAACAATATACAGAGCGGTGCTAATATATAGCGGCAATGTTTAAAATAAAAGTAGCATAAAATCAAAAGATAATTATTTTAAAAAATATTGGGAAATACATTTTTTTTCTTTTTATTAAAATTATTTGTTTTTTAGTTTTATAGAAGAGCGCAATTTACATTTTTTATTTATAGTAAATTATCATTTACTTCATCATTTTATTATTATTTATTTATCAAATATCACTTGAAGAGGCAATCTAATTCGGATCATAACTCACGGGGATATCAAATAGCAAATCTTGACGGAAGTGACTCAAGAATTGCCAAGAGTCATAATATTAATAAGAATAATATTTTTTTAAACATATGAGAATAATGTCACTACAAAGCTATAAAAAAACTTTCAACGCATTGTACAGTGGCCGACTAACATCTGATTTGAATCAATACATTTTTTAAATATTTAAAAAAAATACTTGCCAATCTTGGACAGGGTTTATTAATATTTATGATGCTCTCAGTCCAAACTATTATTCATTGTAGCCTCATCGCTAAGTCATTATTTGTTGAAAACACAAGGTGCACTATTTTATCTGCATTTAGTCTAAGAGCATTTTTAGAGAACTATAACTCAGCCCTATCTTCTACTTGTTTTTATTTTCTCTAAATCTTGCTTGTTTTGGCCATAGCTAATAATTGACGTATTGTCTTCATAAAAAATGCATTTGTTGGGGTACAAAAATGCATAGATAGTTTATGTAGATAGTAAAAAGGAGCAGACCCGGGACAGAGCGCAGTGGCATGTCACTTCTGATATTTCATTATTGTATGACTTAATAAGATCCAACTCGTACACCATATTTGCTCAATTTTTCCAACAGTAAGTCGTGAGAAACGCAGTTGAAGGCCTTACTAAGGTCACAAAGAGTAAGACCCACACAAAGCCCTTAACTACGTCCATGACAACCCTACATGCTGCCTGTATAGTAGATTATCCTGGTCCAAAACAGACTGGGTACTGTTGCTGATTGTTGCTATATAAAAAGCGTGAAAACTCTTTTTATTAATGACTCAAAAATTTTATCAGGTGGTTCGTAATTGTTAAAAAGATGAGGTGTGAATATATTTTTTTTTTTTTTTTGAGAACAACACTATTAATATCAAAATAGTCAAATGAACCTGTTTTTTTATGAAAGTTTGTAACAAAGCTTAAGACCTCAACAATCCCTTGTAGGAAGAAAGTTGCTGTTGTTGTTCAGGCATTCCCTCTGTAACTCTGGTTTAATTGTTGAAAGACCTTAGAATATCGGAGGCAATGAAGTAAAAAATGAATTGACTTCAGTTGCCGAGACATCACTGAAATGATCTTTTTTAGAACGATTTCTATCATAATTAATTATTTCCCACGATCCCTATACTTGTCATAGGCCTCTCGCGTTGTATTTTTTAATAAATTGTCTATATTTATTTGAAAAGTACCTGAATCTTACCGATTAAGAAATCTTCAACACTCTCTAAAATATAGACGTGTCCCATATTTTGTAATGAACTTAGTCTTTCAAGTTTAATGTCATTTATTTTCCTTCTGAACCCTTTGCTAATTAAATATTTTTTATTAATTATTTCTTCTATGATTTAATTAGAATGCTCAAAAAAACTAAGTCTTGTGTGTCTGTATAAACGTTTTGCAAATATAATTAGTTAGCCTAATATCTATTTTGCGGGCGTTTCTTTTAAATACTTACGAAATTGAAGTTACCTTTGTAGGGCCTTCCATCTAAAATTCCAAAGTTGATTTAAAACGAAGAATTGATAATCCAAAAGTGACTAATCTAAAAATTATCTTAAATCCAAAGAATGTTTGTATTTAAATTTTTAAAAACTAACGAAAACTATTACAAGTTTTGAGAAAAGTATATTTGGTCACCTTACGTGAGACACCAGGTATGTTTAAAGGGAAATAGTAAAATAAAACCTTTTTTTTGACAGATCGATCGAGTATTTCACTAAGTGACATGCCGATTAACCCGATGGCTCCGGTTTTGTGTAGCGACGCGCAAGACGACGACACCATACCCCTGTCCGATCCTCCGTCACCGTTTTTGTCCATGGATATATACCTCCAGTGTCATAGGAACGCCATCGAGCAGGTAAGTCATGCTCGTGTACTGGGTGAAAATCAAAACTAACCCATTTAACCCATGCAAAGTATAACATAACAATTAAACTTAATAACATAAAATTGCCACTCTCTGAGTCATGCAAAAGCTTGGGTCTCACTCCTGATTCGCAGTTGCGTTTCATAGAACATATTACTAATAAACTAAGGACTGCCTAATTTAAAATTAATTTATGGCAATAGACATGTACTTTGTCAGGGAACTCGTAAGTTGCTGTGTGAATCACTTGTTCTGTCACAATTTAATCACTGCAGTGCTGTGGTGCCTGGAAGCGTCCAATCGTTACCGTGTCCAGAAGGTTCAAAACTCCTGTCTAAGGCTAATTTATGGGGTAAGGAGGAGAGATCATATCTCCCCGTACCTTGCTGTGTCACATTGGCTTAATATGCACCTTCGATGCAAATTACGAATGAGTTCCCTTTATTTGAACATCCTTAAAACAAAATTACCTTTTTATCTTTACAGGAAAATTACTCTTAACATATCAATACACAATTTGAATCTGCGTGGAAGACACCGACTAGTTAGTTATACCCCGTCACCGCAAAGAATTATTTAAAAGATCATATTCCTATAATATAGCCATTTGCATTAACTCTATTACTAATTTTGATATTAATCAGTCCAACTCGACGTTTAGGAATAATTTCAAAAAGCAGTTGTTACGTACGCACTAATATTAAGCTCTTCTACAAAACATGTGCCCCTTTCCTTTCCTTTCCTTTCCTTCCCCATCCATTTCTTCTCTTTTCTTTTCTTTAGAATTATGTGTATCTACGCTTGGCGCTTTCAAATAAATTCTATAAAATTTTTTATTATTATATTTTCGCTGTTAAATTGAGGCCTCAACTGTATCTAGAACTCCTAGATGGCTGCCCTAACAAGGCCTATTGTTGACCATTATTTCGCTTATTTAACTTTGGTTATGTAATTATTTCTATGTAACTTTGATGGTTATAACAATAAATGTATTATTATTATTATTATTATTATTATTATTATTATTTTCTTCTTAAGGGTATTCTTCTTCTTCTTCCTGTGCCTTATCCTCAGTGGACGTTGGCGATTACTATGGCCCATCTGATTTTATTTGCTGCAGCCCGAAATAGATCCATAGATGTCATTCCCGTCCATTGTCTTAGATTCCGCAGCCACGATATTCTTCGTCTTCCAGGACCTCTTTTGCCGTTAAGCTTGCCCTGCATAATAAGCTGGAGTAGGCTATATTTCTGGTTTCGCATAACATGGCCGAAGTATGATAGTTTGCGTTCCTTGATTACGTTTAAGACCTCTTTTTGTTTTCTCATACGCTGTAGGACGGCTTCGTTGGTTACGCCGTAGGTCCATGATATTCTAAGCATGCGTCTGTAGCACCACATCTCAAATGCTTCCAGACGTTTACATGCAGCGTCGGTTAGAGTCCAAGCTTCCACCCCATGTGTTAGTATTGAGAAAACGTAGCATTTAAGAACTCTGACTCTGAGGTGTAAGCCTATATTTAGATTGCACAGCACGCTTCTCATTCGGTTGAAAGCTGTTCTACCCTTCTCAATTCGGATCTTAATTTCATTTATTTGTTCCCATTTATTGTTAAGAAATGTGCCCAAGTAGTTTATCGATGTAACCGTTTCTAATTGGGAGCCATTTGCATAAAACTGGCCATCAATATCTTGTTTGCTTATTATCATGACCTTTGTTTTATTTATGTTTAGGTGCATGTTGTAGGTTTCGCATACTTCCGTTACTCTGTCTATTAGCCTTTGAAGACCCTCAGCTGTGTCTGCAATTAGGACTGTATCGTCAGCGTACCTTAGATTATTAATGAGTACGCCGTTTATTAAAATGCCGTCCTCTGCATTCTCCAGAGCCTCTCTAAACAGTCTCTCTGAGTAAACGTTAAAGAGCAGAGGAGAGAGCACGCATCCCTGTCGAACTCCTTGGCGTACTTCAAACTCTTCAGAGAGTGCATTCTCCACCCGAACACGAGCCTTTTGATTCCAGTAAAGGTTAGATATAATGCGGATATCCCTGTCATCCATGCCTGACTGTCTGAGCGTTTCCAATAGTTTCCTGTGATTTACTCTATCAAAGGCTTTCTCGAAGTCGATGAAACAGGCAAAGACATTGCAGTTAACATCGCGTGCCCTTTGTATTAGAACATTAAGGCTAAACAATGCTTCCCGTGTACCGAGTCCGTTCCTAAATCCGAATTGTGTCTCTCCGATATGTTCTTCGAGTTTGGGATAAATACGTTCATGTATGATTTTTAGGAATGTTTTTAGAACGTGACTCATTAGACTAATGGATCTGTAGTCTTCGCATTTTTTAGCTGTGATTTTTTTCGGTATGGGGATAAATGTTGAAAACAACCATTCTTCCGGGATTGTGCCGCTCTCATAAATGTAATTGAATAGCTCTGTAACGAGGTCTAGGTGGTTTTGTTCTATGAGCTTTAGCAAGTCTGCATAAACTTCATCGGGTCCTGCTGCTTTGTTGTTTTTAAGCTTCCTGATTGCATGCGCAACCTCTTCCGTGGTTATAGAGGGCCCAGTTTCTATGATTTGTTCCTCTAAAGTGCCTCGGTTCTCGTCATTATAGAGTGCCTGCATGTACTCCCTCCATCTTTCTATCTTCTGATCAATCTCCAGTAGTGCCTCGCCATTTATGTTTGTGACCATCCCTGTGTTTCTAGGTCTGAATAAACCTGCAGCTTCTTTGATTCTTTTATGTAGATTAAACGAATCATGTTGGTTTTCCAGTTGCTCGATTTCGGTGCATTTCTCTGCCAGCCAAGCCTCCTTTGTCTCCTTGATCTTTCTTTTAATCAAGCTATGGATTTGTCGATATCTTTCTTCGTTGTTGTTTTTATATTTTCTTCGCTCCTCCATGAGGTCCAATATTTCCTCGGTCATCCATCTGGAGTTTTTCTTCTTCCTTTCTGTGAGAAGTCTAGACTTTGCCGTCTCCACTATGGTGTTCTTTGTATCCATCCATTTTCGTTCAATATGGTTATATGATTTTTCTTTGATTTCAGCTATTTTTCTATTTAATTCCTGTTTTGTTTCGGTTTTAACATTTTCGTCTTTAAGTTTTTGTGTATCCACTCGTTCTGCTCGTTTTGATTTTGCTAGCTTCTTTAATCGTAGTCTTAAAGTGGATAGCAATAGAGTATTATAAAAGTTTTATTGTAAAGTACAAAGAGTTTATAAGAAGCACTAGCTTTTAGCTTTAATAGCTGTTACAAGTTTCGTAAGACGTCCGATGAATTTAAAACTTTATCTATAACATCTTTGTTGTCGATTGCTTCAGGTTTTTTAATATTTCAATTCAATTATTTGTTGTTTATAAGAAGTTACATTTCTACAACAAGAAAAAAGAAGACAAAATAGTAAACAAATAAGGAAAAATCCATCAATATGTCATTGGAAAATCGCAGATACAAATTATAGTTTTATTTTTACTCGTTTCTTAGAAAAGCGCGGGTCTTCAATATATTTATAATGAGGTAAGCAAGGCGTTTTGACCTATGTGAATCCAATTTTTTTTAAAGTGGCGATAAAAGTATTGTCATTGGAAAACTCCATGGTACATCCGGCAAGTGAATAGTTACATATGAACAAATCTAAGCTGGTTTAATGAAATAGGTGTAGCCTTTATAGGAGATTTTCAGAAAATTATTACTATGGGCAAAACTTGAGTAAAAATTCGTGTAGTGTGAACCGATTGCAATGTTAAGGTCTGGTTGAAAAAGTTTTGTTTTAAAACATATTAAGATATCATCACTATGACACATGGGATAATTTGGTTTAAACAGTTTCGAAACTTGTGTCGAGAGAGAGTTTCAGGTTTCGTCGATCATACAGGGTGCGCAAGATTTTTGAAAAAATATCATTTAAAGTTTGTGCAAATTATTACATTTATCAAAGTTTGCCGTAAAGTTCGGCGAGACGTGAAAGTCACTTTATACAAGGTGCATGCACAATAAAATTACATTGATTTTGCGAAAGTTCCATAGTGGTCCGCAGGAGCACGATAGAAAAACAATGCATCCCTATATGCCAAGAAACTGCAAAGCGGTTTCTTTTCAAAATACAAAGCTGCTGCGAACTTGTCCCGCCCAGCGACGATTTTTCGAAAGCAATCTTGTTTGTTCTAGCGCGGTTGAGTGTTGTGTATGTTTTATTGGTCCATATATACTCCTTAGGATTTTTCTCTCTGCAATTCTTAGTCGATTTTCATTGTGTTGTGTAGCGTCCACATATAGTCTTATAATTGTATGGTACCAATTTTTTTTCGTGTGTCGGGATTTGTTTTTGGGTTTTATCACACTTTCAAAGACAAAACATTGATTGCCTTAGTCATGTCATTGTCTGAGGTAGTGGTAGCTCCCAGATATTTCAATTCCTGAGCCCATTCAATATTATTCATTGGAACATTTTGGTATATTCTCTCTCTTCGTTCTGCCATTGCTGTTTCTATATATTTTGTTTTGTCTTCGTTGATCGTTAAACCAACCTGTTCAGTAGAACTTGCCAGCTTGATGAACTCCCCCTCAATATTGATAGTTGAGTTGAGACATATTTATTAAAAAATGTTATGCATTTTAATTCATAACACATAATTTTAACTATCAGATTTTTATCAAAGTTTTTTAGTTTTAAAGTGTTAATAGTGTCGTAATAATAATTTCAAATAAACATACATTGCGGTAAACTTTAGAGTAACAGTAAAATATAATGGTTAATAAAGTAGGTGATCGAATGGTAGAGTTCTCCAAAATATATACCGTTTTTACAACTTTTTATGGTTTTGACTTCGGAATGAGATTAAGGCCCACCTGTTGTAAAGTGAAAGAGACCATTCTTTTTAGCACGTTTACCAGAAGCCAGGGCCGTATTTAAAATGTTAGTCGGCAAGAACTGTGTCGTGCGGTATTTTAAGAGTAGGATTTAAAAGTAAGTTTTTTCACTGTATGGACTAATAATAATCGAGGAATCTCATCGATGAAATTCTATACAAATCCGTCAGCTTTCAACATTTGCATGTACCGAAGTACGTTTCTGGAATGTCATTGTGGAATTGTGAATCTATTTATTGAGGGTTCCAAAGGAAAACCCAAGCAACGTAGGCCTGCGGTTAGAAATTCATAAAAATTTACCAAAGTTAAATATCGGATTAGGTCGTAAAAACGATATATAGTTTGGAGAACGTTTTTTTTATATAATAAAACTAGCTAACGTTTCGCCAATCATCCTGTTGGCTTCTTCAGAGTTTGACTGAAACTGTTTCAGCTTCAAATCGACGCAGGAGGAATCCAGAAATTTTATAAAAAGTATTACAGTGTGGAAGTTTCTTTGAAAAATTAACTCTAACGTTATTATTATAAAACCAAAAAATGAGAGTGGCGAAAGACTTAGGATGTTTCATTGTTACTTGGTAATTGAAGTGTACAGGGACACCATTTTAAATATCCCACTCGAAATAGATCTTCCCCTATTTGCGTGAGGAAGCCAAATCTGTAACTGAGAACTGTAATTTCTGTCAAATGTCACCATCTTGATTTTCCACGTAAATAAACCCATGTATATTTTTATCTCCCTGAACAGATTTTTGTATTCTGAATTAAAAATTATAATATTGTGGACTTTTTGAAGAACCCGGTCGGAATACCCAGGGGTTTAGTTCGTTAATACCCAAGCATCATCTTATCTTACTCTAAACAAAATCCTTGCTAGAATTTTCTTTATTGCTAAATCTGTAATACTAAATAAACTAATTAATAATCAACGACTTCACTAACAGTTCAAAGTTTTATAACGTTATTTTTTCATGGCCTTTTAGTATATATTGAAAATCACAAATGGTGATAATTACGTCAGCTCATAAATTGTATGAACTGATAAACGAACGTACTTCGGTGATAAGATGAGTAAGGTCACCATGATGACAGGGGTTAGGAGGTAAGGTTATGTTAAGGTTAATGTTTATTAAAATTTTCGGTTCATTATATTGCGTGATTTTATTGCATTCTGTCCTAAATAAGTTTATCTAGTCACATGCGTTAGATTTTACAATATTTTAAATTTCTTTTCTTTATTCAAGATTTGAAAATTATTTATTGCTGATTCATAGTTATGATAGAATATTTTTGTATATTTTTAATTAATAAAAATTAGATATTTAAATAAAAAGCACAACAAACAAGTATTATGTTAAAAATATATACAAATTTTAACACAAGATACAAAGGACAATTTATTTTAAAAAAACAATTATAATTCAACGGAAATAGGTGAATATGAATATATAATAATAATAATAATACTTTCTGAATCCAGTGAAATTATTCCATTTAAAATTGTTTTGTTATACCACTCTAAAATAATTTTATTGGTATGTTCCACAGAGTTTTTCCAAAAGTTGCAAAGTAATTTTTCTTTTAACCACCTAATATCTCGACATTTATTCGCTTCCCTTTTTACGCATATTTTTGACTTTTTTACTTTCTATAGCAAAAACTTGTTTAATTAAAAATTAAAAATAACGGTCAGTTTAAAACCAGGCTTTTACATGCATATCTTTTAAGGCGCAACATAGGGTAAATATTAAAAACCCTTGTGCACATTTGTACTGTACTCTCTCAAAATACAAAAGAACATATTAAACTTCAATTTCACACAAAATGTCACTGATGACCAGTATGGAGGACAAGAAGTTAATATTGTGACAATAAAGGAGTTTCTTAAGGTATTTTTGGGGCTTCTCTTGATATTGTATTTTTGATGTTTATATTTTAACATATTTTTCAGATCTTAAACTTTCTGTAAGGATTTACAGGAGAAATATGCTGAAAATGTGTTTAAATATTTGAGAAGTAAAAAAAAAAATTATGACAAAAAGAATTAAAACTCGGAGCAAACTAACCAAAATATAAACACAAGCTAACGAAAAACCACAATCTTTCCACTTTCTAGCTTTCAAAAAATGTAATCTGTCAACAGCAGTTAATCGCGACATTACAAATTCGTCCATCTTTGTCGGATATATGCATCAGTCATACTGTTAGCTCAAGACAAGAAAATTGATAATTGTGTATTTCTAATACATTAAAAATTATGAATCTATTGCGTTTACTAAAAAATAATATACTGACGAAATCTTCTTCTTTTGTGATTTACCGTGCATTTAATGATTGGTTTTGGTATGTTTTAATTGGATTAAATTCGTCTAATGTTGACAATCTTGACAAATCGTTAACAGGAGACAACATACTATATTAAACTTATTTATTTGAGTTTTTGTTTCTTTGAATAGTTTTTTAAAGCCGTTTGGGTCGCAATTGTTTAAGAGTATTTAAATTGAAAGTGTCCACCACGTTATACTTTTTCATTCAGAATTCGGAGCTAAAAAATATAGAGGGGTTCGTTTAAATCTAATACAAAGATGGTGCCGCACCGATTCGGCTTCCTCACCCAAAGTGGAAAATGTCTTTGAAAATTTTAAGGTAGCAGAAAGGAATTTCGAGTGAGACACTTAAAATGATGCCCCTGTACATGCTCGAGCTGATTTATTGTATCGAAGCGATGATACAAACGGATTTTTTGAATGTAAATAAATAAATAAGCTTTTATTTGCAACAGGCGAACACCCCTTTACGGGAACTTCAATTAAAATCAAAACAAAAATGTTAGTAGTAGCTATTGACTACTTCTGCGCCCTTCCTTCTTCTATGGGAGATTTTTAAGATATCCAAATCACAGATTCCTAATCAAAGTTTCGGATGTAATTTGACCAATTATAGACAGATGGCATCACAAACGAAATTACAAATTCCTAACCAATTTAACACCATCTAATAGTACGTTCAATAATCTGTATTATTAAAAGTGGTAGTTTTTGATTTTTTCTCAAGGACACAAGAAAGTGTTAATTTGGAACCACCAAGAGCGTTTTTTTTAAAGGCCGTGGTCGCGCGCCAAAAGGAGGCACTGCAAACGTCTGCGCTGTTGAAGAAGGTGCAGATCGGCGAGTTCGGGAAACTGGGCAGCGACATCTCGTCGAGCGAAGACGAACTGTTGACCGGCGAAAACATCGAGCGCAACTACAGCCCGATCGACCGGCGCGATTTCAAGAACGAGTTCAAATTCGACAAGGACGACGACAGGATGAGCATGTCGTCGTTGAGTAGCAACGAGAACAAAATCGAGGAGGTAGGTCGGCGTTTTGGGTAGTTCGACGCGTTATAAACGAGGTGGGGGGGTTTTAGGCGCAGCCGGATCAGGCGCCGTTGGTCGCTGCGCAGTCGACGCTGCAGACCGTCGGGACTGCGCAGTTTCCGGCAGTGCCGGCGATGCCGGCCAGCGTCTATCCGGGTTACCCTCAATATCCGGGTAAGTGTAGCTTTAGTCTCTTTTTTCCGTGTTTAATATCGTTTCCAAGCAGACCTATTGAGGATTGCCGCAACAGGTAAAATTTTAGATAATTTGTGTACTAGGTGTTTCGAAAAAACGTTCTAAGCTAAATAGACTAAAGTTGCCATGTATGAAAAATATGTTCGTTTTGTTGGATTTTCGTTTCCTAAGATTCAAATTTGAAATTTCTTAAAGCTAAGTTTTAGTGTTTGTATACTAAACCATATTTCAAACCAAATGCAAACTTCGTACATTTAGGGCTAATTAATTCTTTTATTATAACCTTGTTTCTTTAGTTATTTAGCGGTTTTGGCATTCCCACTGGTTGAGGAAATAATAAGAACATAATAATAAAATAGGATAATAATGTAGATATGCGATTAATTGTAACATTTCAAAATTATGAGCTACAGAGAAATCCAAAATCTTTCGATTGTTAAAGTCATTTACCAAACGACTGAGCCTTTGATGAAATTGGATTTTTCGAAAGTATCTATGCTCGTATAAAAATTTTATATCTCGGTAACGGTAGGTCCTAAGGGACCGTCGTTGGTACAGAAATGATCAGCGTAAAAATTTTTTTTTTGTCTGTCCGATCTCCGTTCTCGTCTTTCAAACCGTTGGAGCTACAGCCTCCTTTTTAATCCTTTACGAGATATATAAGCTTATAATAATAATAATAATAATCATTTATTGTCTAACAGATTCTACATCCATTTACAAGACAATCTGACAAGCATATGATACATCATTTAAATACACTATAGCAAAATGTATAAACAAATTAAAGAGCCCTTTTACCTTAGTACCTATGCGTGATACAATATCAATTGCCTAAACAACAAATTTTGTTTTGAGAATGTTTGATAACTGATTATAGGAGAGGTTGAAAATGTCAATATCACTACAACGGTCATTGAAAAGATACATAGCATTGTATAAGGGGGTTTTTATAAGGAAATTTGTAGTTGGGGTAGGCAGGTGGAAAATCGGCGACCTGCGGACAGATCTTTGAGGGACATGGAGAGGTAATTTAATTAAGAGCTCCGAGCAGTCAATCCTGGATAGAACAATTTTGCAGAGGAAGATAACCGCTAGATAGTTTCTTCGCCATTTTAAAAACGGGAGTTCAAATCTTTCCAGAAGTAATGACTGTTCAGTACTCCCCGCCGGAAACACTCCGTCAGTTTTAAATGCCAGGAATTTAACGAACTTTCTCTGTATACCCTCCAATTGGTCTATATATTTAGAGTGACTGGGGAACCAGATTGTCACACAGTACTCAAGCTTGGATCTGACATAGCTAAAAAACAATGCTTTGAGAGCCTGAATGTTCCGAAACTCTTTAGCGTTACGAAATATAAAGCCCATCGATCTTGTTGCATCTTTGCAAATGGTTTCAATATGAGAGGCAAAGGACAGTTTAGTGTCGTACAAAATGCCAAGGTCTGTGAAAGAGGTGCATCTGGTAATTGGAGTAGTTTCCAGGCTGTAGTTAAAAACTATTGGGTGCTGTCTGTTACAAAACGTCATCACAGAACACTTATCCGGATTCGGATGAAGATTGTTTGCCACACAACAGTTATTCAACGACTCCAGGTCCCTCAGCAATGCTGTACAGTCGGCAATGCCCCCCACAATCCTAAACAGCTTCAGGTCATCGGCAAACAATAGGGCGTAGCTAGTTATGTAGTCGCCTATGTCGTTAACGAATAATAGGAAGATCAGTGGAGCCAGATTACTGCTCTGAGGTGCCCCGCTTGTGACTATAAACCTCGAAGAGCGGTGTTCACGAATCCCCACATATCTATCCTGTAGATATGAAGCAAAAAAGTCTACCAGTTTATTGCTGAATCCCATTGCCTCAATTTTCTTTAGGTCAACTCTGTCGAATGCTTTAGAAAAATCTTATAAGAAATGGCTTCGATCCGACGCCGGAATGCCTATTTTTTTCGCGATTTTTGACTGTTTTTTGGACATTGCTATGAAACACGATAAGTGTCCGGAATTTGAAGCAATCTACTTCATATTTGGCGCATATATGTAGGCTTGCCCCGTGACGGAAGTATTTAAAAAAAATAAAAATAAAAATCGCGCTTGCAAGGGTCTACAAAAAGACCATTTTTCAAAAACCGTTTACAAAACCAAAAAAATTCTCGAACCAGAAGACGCAGAATATTCATAAACTTTAATAACTTGACAATTTTTCAAAAATATGCAGTGTGCTCCGCAAAATCAACAAAACCGAAAAATGGGTCCCCCTATTATTGCAAATTGATTATAACTGAAAGACTATAATTCAGATGTCACTCTCTTTAGATTGCAATATAGCCCGCATAGACAGCTATTTAAGGTTTTCACGTATTGTACAGGGTGTTCCCGATATTCCGAGCTAAATAGGAAATGTGTTAAGTGTCCTAAATTTGCAAATTTAGCAGAGAAGTAAAGGTCCGTGTTCACATTTAAACAGTAGAAATTGGGTGCAATCCAATTTTACCAAGTATTTTTTAAAAATATTTGTTTTTTTTTTATAATTTTGACTTCCAGAAAAATATATTTTTCCCCATAATCGTTTACCCGATCGGCAAAATTCTTTAACCAGCAGTCGCGGAAGATGCAGTGCCGTAATATTTATTTCAGGCATTTTTTCGATTATATATAGGATTTTCAAATTATAGGCAAAAATCTAAAAGATCTAAAAAATTGCTTTTTACAGAGTAAATTATTAGCCGCAAATCAAGTCGTAAAAAATATGGCTAATTGTTTCAAACGGTGTCATAGCCCGCATAGGCCGAGAGAGGTAGAGAGGGAGGGAGATATAATTGCATCGATTTTGCGTAGTGGTCCATAGGAGCACGATAGAAAAACAATGCATACTCAGTGTATTGTTGTTTGCTGTGTTTTGTTTGGCACAACCGCTCCATAAATTTCTGCCAACAGGACGTATATTTTGGAAAAAAAGTTTAGTGCAGACTTAAAAGTTCCATCAATGTAAGAATCTCCGAATAATTATACAATTAGTTACTTTGTTTAATTTTTTTAATTAAATCGTAATCAAAATATACCTTATATTTGCTTCTCATCTGAATATCAAGACGCGGTTTTCTTCTCTTAAAAAAAATCCGGAGGCGGCACATTTACGTAGTTTTATTGAATACTCAATGTATCAGGTTTGGGCATGGAGGTTTGCCCTGTCCGACTTAAATTGTTTAAAGAAGGAATGCGTTTCGTCAAATGTCCATCACGCACGTGGATTCGGGCTTTACATCGATCTTTTTGCTCGCACCGCTCTGTTTGGACATATAGAAATCCATTTTCAATAGATTTCGGTTTTCCACGTTTCTTATTTGTCGCCATGTTTTAAAAGATTTATGTACAAGAGTAATTAAGAGTTAATAATACCGACAGGCAATTTAGATGCCTGTTTTATGGACCGTTTATTTATTTATATTTATGCTGCTATGGGGAATAATATATCCAAACTAGTAACGCCCACTTTACGAGAGAAAAATTGATATTGAAAATACACAATTTGACATCACTCTCTCACTCTCGTCTCCCACTTAATGTGGTTTGCAGGCATCGGTAATGGAAGTGGCCCAAGGGGAGAACCTCGGGGAACGCCAGAAGTAACTACTACTCGATTTTTTCGAGGGTTATTGTATTTTTTTAAGGGGATTCTTGACGTTTAGCAACCTAAAGTAACTGAAAATCTGATAGGAGTCTATTTCTTCATCGCAAGTTTTCCTCCATTATCTCCTGGATTCTTTCCGCCCTTTATTTAGTATCTCATAGTTTTGTAAAAGCGAACCTGAATGATTTTCCTTAAAAAAGTATTTATACTAAATACATATTTACAATTTTAATCATAATAATATGAATTCCTTGTGTTATTGATACCGTTTCAGGTGAATGAGACTTCATCACTATATAGTATTATCCGACAAATCGTTTGACGAACTAACTTCACAATTTACAAAAGTACACTAAAACTAAATATATTTTTCTTTTTTCAAAAGAGCAACCAAAACTATTTCTAAACCCAAAAAAAAAGAAAAGAAAAACAAAGAATATAGAAATAAATTTAATTTTGTCCGAGCGAAACACTGTTATTGCTTGATTCCTAAATAAGCGACAAAGCAAAAATATCGATGTGCAAAAAGTAAAGTAAAATGTTATAATTTCTTTGCAAAAGAGATATTGGTGAATTGCTTCCTAAATTTGTACTATATTTAGGCGCATAGAATAAAGCAGGCGTTCTAGTCATTAAGACCCTAGCATAACAATTTTGGGCAGTCTACTCAGTTATTAACAATATTGTACAAAAAAATGCCACTATTCGCCTAACAGATAATTGCAACATATGATAGAAGTCCAAGGCTTGCTTCATACGATACACCCATTAGATTGTGGTTATACATAAAGTTCATTAGAAAAATAAACTTTTTTTGAATGCTTTCAATTTTTTCACACCGGCAATCTCAAGATGGGACCGCATATAGGCGTTATATAGTACCACCAGCGACTTGGGATCTTTAAATTCCTTGGTAACCCTTGCAATAAAACCCAAACCCAGCATACACCTTTTGGTCATCAGCATATGAAATAAATTTTGCAAAACGAAAACATTTACCCGCGTCCGCTATGAGCAAAGAAAACAGAATGGTTCCCAAGTGCGATCCCTGAGGTATGCCAGACGTGACATCAATAGATTTCAATTTAGTTCCATTTAACTCGACAAACTGAGTCCTAGAAGTAATGTATTATTGAAGAGTTTTCTAAAGAAAACTGAGCACATGATATGTACATTATCGAATTCCTTGGAAAAATAGGTCTACACAGTATCCATTTGCATTCTATTATCCAACGCCTCTGACGCATCCTGAACATACAGTGAGAGATTTGTAGCGACGGACCTACCCTTAAAAAAAGCCATGTTGCGTTTGGCCAAGAAGGTACCAAAGTTTAAAAAATAACTCCTCTGTTATAATTGTCTCAAGCGTTTTGCCTCGAATAGAAAGATTTGATATGTGTCGGTGCCTTGTGATATCAATATTACTGGCACTCTTATGAACAGACATATTTCCAAATAGTCGGGATGTGCCCTTCTGATAAACTTTTATCAAAAATTAAAAATAGCGGTAGCAACGGAGATTCCGTACAAGATTTAAAAAAGATTTCTTAATATCCAGCTACTGGATTCAAGCCTTAAAGCGTAGTCTGCGGGTTTTAAAGCTTATACAGTAAGATGTGTTACGGGTACAAACCGAAATTGTGTACTCTAATCCGGAATATGTTAAGTCCATTACCTATTCTCCCGACACTAGTGGAAGGTTGAGCATCAATCATATTAAGTATTGCGCAAAATCCTATTAAACGGGACGTTCAGAAATGGTTGTAGGAGACTTGCTTGTTTCCCTCAAACATCGATGGACATGCTAAAAACATAACACAAGGCACTCCACGAATGGGAAATTGTCGACGATATTAATCAACTGCCACTCGTCCGTTCCAATTAGACAATCCATAAACAAAGTCACAAAGTCAAAAAGTATTTTAATGTAACACACGAAAATAAACACGCCATATTAAGTTACGTTTACTCCCACAATATTAACGGCCGAACGTAATACTGGAGCAACTAATTCAATGCAGCGGTTGCTTTTTAAATGGTTTTTAAAATTTCAAATGCTTGTAGCTCAGTTAGAATAGCGTTTAGGGTACATGTTTATTTGTCATTTTTAACTTGAGATCACCCCAGCAACACACTCTCAAGCTATGACAGTGATGTACGTGGGCCCCCCTGTATAAGTTTATAAAAGCCAAGCACCGTGCAAGTTACTTGAGGTTTTAGTAAGTAATGACGTCCAAATAAGTATGCTTTAAGTAATTTTCAGAAACAAGTAACAAAAAACTATATTTAAATTAAATTTTGCCAGCGGTAACTTTCATGATCCAATCAAAAGTATTTCTAGTCTAAATTTCATTTTGGGTGTCTTAAATCGTCTTCAGAAACGATTTTACTTTTTACAGACCCATATTTTGTGATACGCGCTCGTTGAATTAGAACGTTTTTTGAAACACCCGCAATATTTGACGCACTTTGTAATTTAAAAACGTTTCCCGTTCAGCTGCCATACTCAGATCCGCTACAGGTATTTCAAATTAATCAAAATTTCGGTCCGCCCAGTGGTAGTAACACCCGTTTTCTTTAGGATACACCGGTTCGGCTCAGTACGGTTATACGCAGCCGCCTCCCATCTCGCCTTACGCCGCCCCCTATCCGCAATACCCTTACCCGACCGCCACGACGGCCGCTTACCCTTACACAGCTTCGATGCCTTATTACTCGGCTTATCCTGCCGCCGCCGCCGCCACTGCCGCGTACGGTTTCCCCTACCCGACTATAGGCGCCGCCTCCACCGCGTGCGGCAGGACCGACCTTGAGGGCAGGACGGACGATCCCCACGCCCCCACCATCGATAGCGTCGTCGAGAAGGTCACCCACGAGCTCAAGGCTATCCTGAAGCGCGACTTCAATAAGAAAATGGTCGAGATGACGGCTTATAAGAAGTTCGAGGCTTGGTGAGGGCGTGGCCGCATCCTTTAGTCGCACAAGTAACTTTTATTTCCTCAGGTGGGAGGAAGAAACGTCGAAGGTTAACAAGGTGAAAGACAAAGAGGAGACGGAGAAGCCGATATCGTCGAGAGACAACATAAACGTACTGCTGGAGAGCAATCACGACTCCCTGTACGGCTACGACTCCGTGGGTAAGTTTTATTTTGGTCTCCGCCGTCTGGTCGACGTGGTAGTTCCCGGTGAATTTCTCAAACGAAATGTAGCGTGTGCTTTTATTATGCAATAATTTTCATTTTTTTTTTCGTCGTTATGTGGTAGATCTACACAACAGATGCGGTAGTTCAAAGGGTACGGTAGTTTCATCATGCCAATATCTGGTTACAGAAAATTCAATGAACACAAAAAAATGTTAATATACAACAAAAATAACTAAAGTAATGGTATTATTCTAAAATAACACTAACACTTAGTTATGAATATGTAAAAGAAGTGGTTTATTTTTTCCCCTAGGCAATTTTCCTTTTTTTAATGTGAAATTCAATCCCTTCCACTTACACACACATTTTTCTCTTTAAAGTTGTTTCATTTAACTTAAGATAATTAGTCGGAACTACTCTTCTGCATCAAAAATCGCTCGAGTACGTCAAGATGTTACATCACTTAAAATTTACCTAAATTGTTGTTGTGTCATCTGCATGTAAAGAATCGATACCAGGTTAGTAAAAAGTACCAGAACGCTTAAATATGTCAAAATCTGCCAAAGATGTTAAAAGCAGTGTTGTCAGATTTGCCAATTTTACGTTACACGTCATAATTTTGTTATTTTAAACAGAATGCCCTATTCATTTTTGTTGCAGTGAATTGCGCTTCACGAAATTGGTGAGGCCTCATAATTTCAAAATTTTTCTGTAAAAAGTACGGGAATGCTTAAATATCTAAAAAATTACCAAAGTTAGAACGATAAAATTCATTTGCTGTGAGTGCAGAATTCGAAAATGCAAACAGCAACGTTGTCAGATTTACCACTTCTACGTTGCACGTTATAGTTTTGTTATTTTAAATGAAATGCCCTATTTATTGGAAAGTTTAGGAGTGTGTGACCACATTCGCGATATAATTTTTGAATTCTGCATGTTCAAAAACTGTTATCCGGTATAATATAGGCTGATCTAAATTAAGTGTTCATCATTGGTAACTTTGTTATGAGAGATACAAAGACAACTAGTAGCATTGTTTCCACTGATTACGATGGTGAGAACAGAAAAAATGTACTCCTTTTAAGTGTAACACCTGTATATTTTTTATTCTACCGTTCGTAAATCACCAACAGAAAAAAAAAGGTCATAAGCAATATTAGCCAAAAATTGAAAATATCCGAATTATGAGCACATTTACTCTTTAAAATTAACTCCATTTTCCTTTTATTGTTTTATTTAAGGTAAGAAACATGGAAATAAGAAAATAAAAAAAACTAAACATCCTAATTAATTTATGATTAACTATACTTCAATTTATTTTTGAGCACGCTTTTCTATTGAGCGAATTGCCTTTAGTATTATTCTCCATCTATCTGGTTTATTTTTTCTCTTATTGCAGTCTTTAAAACGTCAACGTGTTGCTTATAAGTTTTGTCCTTTAAATAACCCCACAAGTGTGGTTACATCTAGTGCCCTAGGAGGCCAAAGGTCTATTTGTAGCAATCTATTGTGCTTGTGCTTTATATGCTTCGGAAGTTATGAGATGGTACGCCATCTTTTTGAAAATGCCACCCAGTATTTTAGTAATAATTTGTACAAATAAGGACCAACAATGCGTTAAAGTAGGAACTTGTGGAGCTAGGGGATGTCCTAGAAGTAAATTTTCTTTTGACAAATAATGATGATTTTTTTTATTATAAATTCCGCATTTTGAAAAATTAGATTCGTAAATCCACAAAATATACCAAAAATTATTTATATTTTGAAAGCGAAATTTAACTTACCAATAACAAACAAAAATTTCTCTCTGCACCTCCTGTCAAAAGCACCTGTGTGTGTGTGTTTTTTTTTTTAATCCTTTGGACAGTATTAAAGGATACGTTAGAGACTTTGGTTATCCCTTCTTCTTTTTGCAAAAAACCGATTCATTAATTATAAAGATTCGATAAAGGCCCAGAAAAAATTAGTCATGTAGTGGAACGGGATGTGGATATAGGTTGTGTTGTATTGTATTGTTCTCTGGCCCTTAAAGACGATTTACTGCATGCCAAATAACATGTCGCACTTTTCTTCATGTGTAAAATTTTTTTTTAAATAAGTGATACAGTAAATTTAATTTAAATAATTGGTAAAAATTGATTTTTTGACAACTAGTTTTTTATTTGATAGGGCTGTCATTATTGTGCACAGTCTTCTTTGAACAATTTTTTCGAATTTCGCCTTTAATCGAATTTTTCTAATTATTGAAAACGTTTTTACTAAAAGGAGACGAAAAAATGTTATAGTAAATGAGGATGTGGAAATTGGTGTTATTATTGTTTTTTTACGAACGAATAATACAATAAAAGGACAATGAAGTTTTATTTCCCAACCCCTCATACCTATCTAGTCTCAAAGAGAAATGTGCTGATAATCCAGTTATAGTAAAAAATATACCCATAAAAAAGTTACCAATGATGAACACTTAATTTAGATCAACGGATATATCTGAGCATGTGCGCGGTCGTTTCAGGTCTGGGTCTGCGCGCCTCGCTGCCGAAGATGCCCAGTTTCCGGCGCAAGAAGATCCCGTCGCCGGCGCCGGTCGAAGAAGACGAAGAATCGAAACTGTCCGATCAGGAGGAAATCGTGCGCAGCGATTCGGACTCGGAGTCGACGTCGCGGCGTCGCGGCGACGACGTCGCGCGACGGAAAACATCGTCGAGCAGCTCGAGCTCGAGCTCGACGGTCAGCTCGGACGACGACGACAGCTCCGACGACGAGAGCAGCTCCGACGAATCCGACGTCGAGGTGAAACAGATGAACAGGAGCGACGCGTCCAAGACCGAGAAAAACGTCGAAGACGACGTCGACGACGAGATGATAAAAATATCCGACTTGTCGACGTTCGAGCCGCTCGATGACGGCATCGTCGAGAGAAACGAGACCCCCACCCCGATGGAGCTGGACGAATCGGTAGACACCGCACAGTCGAACGTTCGAACGTTAAAGGTGAGATGTGTGGAAAATTGGTCAATACAATTTAAAAATCTTCCGGATTCCTCATGCTTGTTGATAAATCGAACTTGCTGACGTTTCGTCAATAATCCTGTTTGGCTTCTTCAGAGCTAAACTGAAACCGCTTCTTGTTCTACTCTCTCTTATATATGGTTTGAGAGGGCGGAGCGATAGGAGGGGCATGAACATTGTCTCGGATGATTGATTACCATATTGGTGAAAGGTGGGTCACGGTTAAGATTAATTTTTGCTTAGAGTGTTCGGATATTGCTGATGAGTTTATTTATCGGAGTGTGCCAGCTAGTTTTACACTGACAATAAATTCATGAAGTAATTGATGAATTTCTTTGTGAAGTTGTTGACTAAGCATACCGGCTTTACACTGGGAAGGAGTTTCGTCAATATTTGACGTCTTAAAGTGTCAGTTCAGCCATCATATAGTATTTTGAGGTTATCTATTATTGTTTTGAATTAGTGTTTAATTATTTAATGAAAATATTTAAGCCCCCGTCGATTATACAAAAAAGTAAAAGAATGCTGCAGGGCCCTTATCCTGACTGCTAATAATTTTTTGGTACCTTACATTGAAATTAGTGGGTCAGAAGATAAAAAGGAACAGGTCTTAAAATTGGTTAAACAAGAGTTTAAAAAGGACTCTGAACGTTTTATATAGTTTCTGAGGATGTCAAAAGAAAGCTTCATGATTCCTGTGAAAGTCCAGATAATTTTCACATATTTAAAAAAAAAAAAAAAACTTTCGAAGGAATGAATTTTTATTTTGTTCGGCTTTAAGATATACCGGATATGTCCTTAGAAATGAACTCACTTCTTCCGTAACCTAAGAGACAGGTAAAAAAAATATCAATATTTAAAATATTATATAAACATTAGTTTGTAAGATGTTTAAATATTGTCGCTTGGAAGTATACAACTTATATCAGTCTTCAGTCAGTCGAAGATGTCTTAACATTATAACTTCGATCAAGTGAAATTTTTAACATTCCTTTTAGGAAAACCAACTCTGCAAAAAGTTCACCGTTGTGTCTAATTTATTTATTTATGTTAATAATATTACCATTTATTATTATAGTAATTTGTTACAAGCAATGACTCTAGATTGATATTTTAACACTAGTTATGATTAGTTATATTTGTATATAATATTGTACATATACTCTTGTGGATCCATTAATCTTAATGTTCATGCCCTTCCTTTAGCTCCGCCCCCTTCAAACAATATACAGTGTGTAGAAGATAAGGCTGTTTATTAATATTGGAAACTATAAGAAAAAAGTGGCATAGTTTAAAGGTTAATAACGGTGTTGAGAAAATTTTAAAAGTTCTTCTGCAGATACGCCAAGAAATCGAAATTTACCGATTTTGTTTTTATTTTGTTCTGATATAATAATATAATAATATAAATAAATATGATACATGGCCCGTAAAAAACTAACCATGTATTAAATATCATTTTTTATGTCTATTTTTATTAAATATTCAATGTTTTGGTGTAAATGAGGAAAAAAAATTCTAGCTAAGTAGGTAGGTCACGTCACATATTAATTCAGTATTGCTTAAAAAAAATTACCTAAAAAAAAATTACTACAAAAAAAATTGTAAAGAATGTTCAAACAAGTATGAATTATTTTCCAAACACAGATAACATACATAACATAGATAACACTTGTGAGTATTAGATTTCGCTATTCCAGTTGCACATTCTATTTTTCTAACAGATATTGCCGGATTTTTAGTTACAGCTAAGGATTCATTATTTAATTTTTCTTCATCGCAGGGTTTATTTCTGAATAAAACTGGCGTCATAATCTCACCATACTCCTTAAGATTTGTAGTTAATTTTCCAAAAATTTTTGTACTCGTTTGTCTTCGTCGTTGTACTCGTAATAAAAAATTCTATTTTTCGTTTCATTTATTAGCATGTTACAAATATAGAAAATCAGAAAACAGTCAACAATAACAATTTTACAATAGAATATTGAAAACTTACAATATAATAAGCAGGAAGTGCAATCATCTGACTAGATATAGTTATTGAAATCTTTAAAAAAGATAAACTCCTCCAAAGAATGCTTTATTAAAAAGTGTTTGACTTAGTTTTTGAACCTGTTTAGTGGGACTTGTTTTGTCTCGGGCTTAAGTTTATTAAAAAAATGGATGCAGTAGTAATTTGAACCTAAACTTTTCGCATTAAGATGGAAGAAACCAGGTCTGAGGGAGTCAGTCCCTATTCCGTGTTTTTTAGGGGTGAACTTCATTCACATGTAAAAAATCTGTTTGATTCTCGTAAACGTAGACACTAAGTAAGGATTTTAAGCTCCTTAAATTGCGATCTAACATCCTCAGTTTATCAAGTCATAAAGCAAGTTTTAGCCAGCTACAGCATGATGTTCTGTCAATATGTTCCAATCTACAGTGCCGTTTAGGCTACGTATTAGAAAAATGTTTTTTTAATATTTTTTTAGCCACTTGGTCTGCGTAGTGACACCAATTTAGTGTCTAAATAAATTCCCAAGAATTTTGCACTGTGTTAATTATTTACTTCAATGATATGCCTTTGACAGAAAATTAAAGAAATTGCTTTCCCTTTGTCAAGGGTTAAGCTGTTTTTTGTAAACCAGTCCTTAATTAGTTACAGCAAGTGCTTCAGTAGGATTTTTTTATTTATTAACAACGCGAGCCGACCATTCAAAAGGACTTCATGAAGGTCGTTGATATATATATATATATATATATATATATATATATATATATATATATATATATATATATATATATATATATATATATATATATATGAGAGGGTAGGTTCCATTACTGAGCTCTGCGCATAACTCCATTTCTCACTGATAATGTACTCGAAGTTTTATTGCTATAAAAAATATATTGTTCCCTCTGAGCTAGAAATGAAGCAACTAGGCTTTGGCTCAAGATGCCAAGTTAGTGATATCATAGAATGTTGCACTCGTAAAGTTGCCTTCTCCTTGTCTTTTAACTATTGCTTTTATTCGATTGGTGATAGTAGAGTCGGTTGCTCAACCCTCCCTGAATCCATATCGCTGACTACAGTAAAAATTAAAATTCTCCAAATGTTTGTTAATTTGATTTTTTAAATACTGATTCAATGATTTTTGGTAAAAAAGGTACCATGGAAAAGTAGCTTGCAGTAACTTCCCCATGGTTTGGTTTTTTCACGGACTATATGAAAAAATGAAGTTTCTGTCTATGTTGCAGAGCTCAAAGAGTGATGATTAGAAACTGATTTTTATCTTTTAACATCTCTTTAAATAATAAAAAAAAAATCAACAAAATGGGCAAATTTTAGGTTTTTGTCGTATCTTCGAAAATGATAGGAATTTTTTATTTTTCTACATATTGCCAACCTTTAAATTTTCGACTTTCTAATGTAACCATATTTGTATCTCTTATGGTTTCCAATATCTCTGCGAAGACATCCTTATCTCTGACACACTCTAAAAGCTGTGAAAGTAGAACCAAAATGAATTTGCACTCAACTGCCGGAAACGTTAGTGTAAACAAAAAATAAAGACAATGGAATTTCGACAATCTCTTAGTATTTCTACCTTTTAACTAAATAAAGACATATTTATTTATTTATTTTATAAAGTTAATCCTTTCCACTCGTATATATGTCCTTTCGCGATTTGGGATTTTTTTTCAATATTTTGTTATTGTTGTCATAATCCCTAGCATTATTATTAAATAAATTCATAGACAATAATAAAAAATTAAATCCTATAATGTATAATATATAATATAATATATAATAATAATGTTGTAGTGTTTGGTACCGTTCGAAGCAGTTATCAATGTGAAGTCAAGGCTTACGCATGCAAGTGTCACAAATATACGTAGTTTCCCGCCTGCCGCCGTGTACTTTACGGTTAGAACATACCGCACACTCTTTTTTCTTTCCGTCATTTTGGCGTAAAATATGTAATTTACCATTTAGCCGCTTTTCTGTATCTACAATGGTCTGCCAGAAATTTTGGACCCCTGCCGAAAGTTTTTTGTCATCTCGTCAACCAATTCCCGAACAAACTTTAGATGTGTTATTGGTTTTTTATTTTGGTCCCTTTGTGAAATTTTATATAATAAATATGCGTTGACATTGGACATTTCGAGTTCCCAGAAAAATAATTTTCACCACCATTTTAAACACTTCCTCAGGAAACAGTATGACGCTGAATAAGAGTCTGCGCGGTCGACACCGCCCATAAATTTATTGTAATTGTATTGTAAATGCTACATTTCGCTGATTTACAACTTGAAATATGCCAATAACATCAAATTACCTGATTTGTATGCAAATGTTGTTTTTTTGATAGAATCAGGTATAAATTTGCGTTGATTTGAATAGTATCTGTCAAATGAACATTCAGTTTCAACAATTCTTCTGCAAGTGGAAAGCTCGTATGGTATCTATCGGTATAAAAATGATATCCTCTTCATCCTGTTTATTGTCTAATAATTTTTGACACGGGTAGGTAGATACAGTATCCCCCATTTCGTAGGCTTGTTAGGATTGTAAGTTAAAAAACTAATTTTACCCTTAAATCCAATAACAGATTTGTCTACCGATATCTCTCTTGATGCAACAAAATGTTCTTTGAATTGCTTGTCCAAATAATCTAAATAGTGACTGACTTTCTGAGTTCGAGTCCAAAGAGAGATGGTTTTCATGCAAGTGGAGCATCCAAAAAATCTGTAAAAATCGTTCTCTCCTAAATACACTACTAAAAAAAGATATTTTGAAGTTAGAGTATTGTGACTCTTGGAAATTAGATAAGATTATTGTTCCCATATTTAGGACAAATCCAATAAATGCGGTAATCTCTTCTACTGTAGTATCTACCCACGTTTTGACAACCTCTTGTGTGTTATTTTATGTCTGGCGTAGTTATTTGTTTGTTCCACTATTTTTATTATTAGCTCATCGGTAAAAAAAAGAGCTGGAAAAAATCTATGGGTTTTGTACAAGTATCAGGAATTTGTAGTCCTGCCATTTCATCCCCAGAAGTAAATAGAATCCTAGCTGGTGCCTGATCGTGGCATGTGACGTCCTGCCATGGACGAAAATTATCAGGTAAAGGTATGGTTCTCTGTCTTTCAGTAACTATAATATCACTACCACTATTACAGCCACTAATACTATCACTATCCAATCTATCATTTTCAGGTGCGTCAATATAAAATTCATCGTCACTACTTTGTAATTCATTTTCAATTTCATCTCGTAAACATTTCTTGGGATCATTTATTTTTACGTAAACATGTCCTCAACAAAGGTTCAAGATAGCAATTTAGAAATATTACAAATGAGCTTAGGACATGACAGACCGGCCAACCTGTTATACGGCGACATACGAGTGCAAAGGGTTAATAGCCCTATTTGCGTACAAGTAAACTAAAATATGGTAAATAATTGTATTAAAATAAAAAGGTACTGAAATACCAATTGATATTTCGTGAAGTTTAATATTAATATTCGAAATAAAATGTCCGACACGTTGTATAAGGTCGTCGCACCGCGCGCCGTCGACTCATCCGAACCGTCCAAGAGGCCGAAGAACAACTTCTACAGCATCTACGACAGCGACAGCGACGAGAGCGACACCGAGAGGATCCTGCTGGAGCGCAGGCGCAAGAACACTGAATGGATGGAACAGATCGAGAAGGAGCGACAGGAAACAGAGGCGCGGAGGCGGCAAGAACGCGCTGAGAAGGAAGAAAGGGAACGGACGCCGACTCCGCCGTCGCAGAAAGCGACGCACGGCGACGTCGACGTTGACGACGAGGAGACCAAGAGCGCGATCGAGGAGAAAACGTTGGAAGAGCTCGAGGCGGAACGGGACGCCCTCTTGCGGCAAGTGCGCAATCCGGAGCCGCCGTCGAACGAGATGGACGTCGACGACGATCGGCCGCGTCACGTGACCGCCGAAGACGACGACGCGGTCGAACAAAAGGACGTCAACGGCGCCGTGGACGCCGTCGCCAAGGGCCTGTCCGAAGGTTCCAGGGAGAGCAGCCCGTCGAGCCAGGTGGTCATAGAGCATTCGTACTGCATGTCGCGGCCAGACGAGAAGGAGAACGACGCCGGCGTCGGTGTCGAGACGCCGCGCGGGGACACCCTCGCCCACGATCATGGATACACGAACAAGGAGGAGACGGCGCCGGTCGTGGAACCCGTCAAACCGAAAAAGGTAAGGAAATTTCCCTTACAAAAAGTGTGAACGGCGTTCACATCAGAAGTGAGATTATTTTTAAAATAGTAGTTTCATTTAAGTGACATTTAGGGATATACATCAGAAGTGGGATTATTTTCAATATAACAATTTCATTAAAGTGACATTTAGCGAACTGCTTTTTTATTAGGATTATTGGGAAATTTTTTCCCACTCGCTTGTTACTTTTCTTAGAAATTAATAGTTTTTCAAAAGTCGCAGAAGGCAAGTAAACTAACAGAACAAATGGGATTCTTGCGATGTTATGGGTTCCGTTTTATTTGTTTTTCGATCAATCAATTAACTCTTAATGAAATATTTTTTAAAATACGAGAACAAATAAAAATTCAATAATTTAAACTACGCGTATGACCTACGAGAACAAATAAAAATTCAATAATTTAAACTACGCGTATGACCAGCGTTATCGGGGATGTCAGATTTTAAAGTTCTCCTTAAGCGGTTGATTTAATATAATTTTTACGTCAGAAGTGAGATTGTTTTCAGGCCAACAATATCATTAAAGTGACATTTAATGAACTGTTTTCTATCAGGATTATTGGGGATTTTTTTTCCAACTGGTTTAGTATTTTCTAAATACAAGATTTTGGACAACGATATTTTTCACAGGCCTGTAAAATTTATTACAACAAACTGCTTTTAATTGCCAAAGAAGTAATAATTTGGGAGGTAAACTAATTGAAGAAATGAGATTTTTGCGATGATATGACTTAAATTTCATGTTTTTCTATCAACCAATTGACGGCCATTATTGAAATATTTTTTTATGTGCGAGAACAAATAAAAGTTCAATAAGTTAAACTACAGATAATAGAGTTAACTGGTTGATCGGAAAACAAAAAAAAGCAAAGTCTCAAAAATCTTTTTTGTTTCGGTTGTTTAATGAGTTTTATAACTCTTAAAAAGATCGTCGCTTAAGATTTTGTATGAAAAAAAAACTACTAAAGCTGGCGGCATGATTGCCTCATTGGTTGCCCTCTGGGACTTTTGAAAAACTATTAATTTCTGCCAAAAGTAATAAGCGAGTTGGAAATAAAATCCCAATAATCCTGATAGAGAACAGTTCGTTAAATCTCACTTTAACTGTTATTTGGAAAATCATGCCACTTCTGATGTGAACACAAACCTGTAGTCCTCGCTAACGCTTGTTTAACTTTCAAGTATTTGGTTAAAAAAATCAATTTTTTAATTAAAAAAAATATTGTTGGATATTTCTTTTATTACTTTGACTTCCTTCCTATATATTTCCTGAAAAACAATCGACAACGTTTTTATTAAAGGAGAAAGCGCCCAAACAGCCGAGACCCCGCAAGCAAAAGAAGCTCCAGGAGCTGCAGAACACGTTCTACAACGAACGGCAGCGTTATTCGGCCAAACAGGACTACGTGGGCCGCTACAATGTCCACGAAAACGTTTACCACAAAATACGGGATCAGATGTCCGAATTCGCGGTTCTTTACGAATTCCTCACCAAGGGTATCGACCGGGAAGACATCGAGTACATCAAAAAATCGTACGAGGAGCTGCTATCGGACGACGTGATGGGTTACTGGCTCAACGACACACACTGGGTCGACCACTGCGTCACCGATTTGTACTCTAGCCCGCCGAAGAGACGGAAACGGGACGAGAGGCAGCACTCGACGGGTTCGGCGAGGACCGAAGGGTATTACAAGATGTCCGCGCACGAAAAGTCCCGTTACAAGTACCACCACGCCAAGGCTCACGCCATCACGTCGGCGGTTGTCGTGCCAGTCAACAAACAAGGTATGACTAGTTATTCGGACCTCAGAAGGGGTCGATTTCTAACTTCTGACGTCACGTGGTATCAAAATTAAAATCTTTTGCTCAACAACCGAAAAGTCTAAGTCCGTCAATTCTCGCGTGACATGCCACACAAAGATTGTCAAACTTGGTAGGCAACACTAAGAAGTAAAAAATTGGGTGAAATCATTCCCAAGTCACAAAGGTCAATAAATGTCCCAAATGTTATGTATTTTAAATACATGTGTAAAAAATCGTAATCAAGTCCTCACCTTTAACATAATTAAACATTACTTTTTGTTTTACAGACAAGAAATTAAGAACACTCAACATGCTTTGAATTGGCATATATCTGTTAGACTTTAGTATATTTCTTATTTTGAATAATCTGCAATTGGTGTAATTTATTATTAGGCAAATTGAACAAAAGTTTGGAACAAAATTCTAAATGGGGAGCAGCTAGGCTGTTATACAATAAGATTTTGGTGTCAATTGTCAAATTTTTCCCTAGTCTAGATATAAAATTAATCTTTTTAGAAAATGTATTCATTGTATCATGGGCATGTGTATGAAACGTCAAATTTGAGCGAAATATAACAAACACCCAGATATTTAATTTCGTTTTCATGAATTAATTTTTTGTTGTTAATATAAATGTTTGTATCGAAATTTAATTTACTCAATTTATGTCGTTTACCAGAAATACAAAATTTTGACTTGTACGTGTTTATACAAACGTTATTATTGCACAGCCATTCAGAAACCTTCTTCAGATCAGCATTCATTTTTCTTTGCATTTCATCCACATTTTCACCCACATAGTGTCATCCGCAAATAATATCGCTTTAGTATCATCTAAAATATTTGCAATATCGTTCATATACATAAGAAACAACAATGGTCCCAAAACTGTCCCCTGAGGTACACCATGTTCTACAGTTATGCAATCAGATATGCAATTTCTATATTTCGTTTTTTGTACCCTAACTGTTAAATACGAACCAAGATTTATACGCTGTTCCCTTAACACCCATTTTGTACAATTTTCTTAACAGTCTAGTTCTACTTATTGTTTGGAAAGCACGCTTAAAATCCAAAAATACAGCCAACACAACTCCATGGCCCTCGAGAAATCATCACAGACAGTAACAAAGACAGATTCACATGAATGTTTAAAGCGAAAGCCCGACTGGTTAGGCACTAAAATATTGTTATCTTCACAATAACTTTGCAGTTGCTGTTTCACCACAACCCCAAGGACCTTCTTATAAACTGGAACGGTATTAATTGGCCTAAATTCTTGACAAAGATTGGTGTTGGGAACCTTCTGTACAGGGATCACCATTAATGTCTTCCATGCCTCCGGGAAAAATTCACTCACAATGTGCAACAATCGATTTCAGACAGCTGCACAGGCATCAATCAATACACTCTTTGAGATACCACACTCATCACCAGTCACATTTTTTAATTCTCTTATTATTTTTTTAGGACCTGCATAATTATGGTATTAAACTGATCTATTTCACCATAAGTTGGTATATTATCAGTTATATCATTCACAGCCTGGGATGGCGGAATGCCACTCAAAGTATTTTTAACATTGTCTATAAAATACTTATTAAATTCGCTTGCCAAACTGCAACTCATCGGGAAGAATGCCTTTTTGAGAAGTAGCGTTTTTAAATTGTTCCACATTTCTTTGGAGTTTGTTTTATTTATATCAATAATATCTTTAAAATATCTTTGTTTTTCTAAATTAATGCAGCTTACAATGCGATTTCTCTCTTTTTTGTAGGCAGGCCATGGCTTGTATTTTCTATTTCTATGGACAGTATGTTATGACCGCCAATTCTTGGTGTTAGATGTATTTTATGTTCCAGATATTTATCATTGGTTATTATATAATCTGTCAGAGTTTCACTTTTGTCTATAATTCGTAAAACGTATTTTTTAGCAAATCAAAATTAAAATCTCCCATGATAATGTTTGTTCCCGTGAAATCGCTCAGTTCATCCAAATAATTTGAAAAATAGTCCAAAAATTTAGCATTTTACAACCGTGGAGGATGATATGGAACACTACATAGATATTTTGACCCAAATAGCACTATCTCCACAGGCAACATCCATACATAATTTTGTACACAAGATACGTTCTTTAATTTGTACTTTATATCATACCTTATGAATGCCATCACTTCTCCAGTTCTCCTATTATTGGTAACGCACTGTTCCAGCTTGTATCCATCAATACACAACTCACTGTGATGAATATCCTCAGATACATGAGTTTTAGACAAAAACAGTGCTTTTAGTTTCCAGTCATTAATGAAAACAATTATATTGTCCTTATTGTTCAGATATCCCTAGCAATTGAAGTAAACTACTCCAGAACTTAAGGCGAAATTAGTGTCTAATTGCTATTTCACTAATTTATTACCTTGGACTTGGTACAATGCGCTTATATGTCGTGCAGTTGTTTATATCCCATGCTGTATGGTCAACATTTAATTTCAAACTATATTTGTTTTTGGCTGCTACACAATTTGGACACTTAAATTCATTACTAGCGCAGTCTTTTATGTCATGTTCACCACTGCATTTTCCACATAGTTTTTTATCCTTACACTCTTTAGCCAAATGGCCATATTTACAGCATTTAAAGCATCTAACAGTTCCATAATCATTGTGTATCTCTTTGAGGTCTCGACAATGTGTTGAGCAGGTTACGTTTTTTTTTTAAACAATTTCGTATAAAAAATTACTCAGCAGTCCTATATGATAGAATTTTATCCCATTTAGGACCAAATTTGTTTTACCAAACCTTTTGGTTTGTTTGTCAGAGAACCGCGTTAGGATAACTGCTTGCATAGCCAAGCAACACAATTTTATCTTTGGTTTGTAAGTGCGTGTGTAGTGACTGAAACTCCGCCATACCGACTAACTTGAATGTTCAGAAGTATCAGGAGATCCTTGAAGTCTATATTCCCTGCTAACGCGTATTTAAACCAGTATTTTATAAATTTTTAATTAATTAACCAGAAATCTTTTTTGTTTTATTATGTTATTTGTGGATCCCATCCTATAAGAACTTTTATGGGGCAGCGTATGTGGTAGAATATTGATACATATCTCTTTTAGGCCTCGACCATGTGTTGAGCCGGTTAAGTTTTTTAAAAACAGTTTCGTATAAAGTATTGGTTACCATGTAATTGTCCTAAAGCGGTTATGTGACACAAATTTCTCTCATTTAGAACCAAATTTGGTTTACCAAATCTTTTGGTTAGTTTGTCACAGAACCGCGTTAGGATAACTACTTGCATGGTCACCCCACACGATTTTATCTTCGATTTTATGTTTGGTTTGTGAGTGTGTGTGTAGTGACCGAAATAATTTGATGACATAATTATCAGTTAGAAGAAAGAAATGTTTGGTAGGAATGTTAGAAAAGGAAAGGATATTGCCGATCCCGGTTTGCTAACTAATTAGTATATACCAAAAAGCTAAACTAAAACAAGCAATTAAAGATGGAGATAAGTAAAAGGTTAAACCGCGTCGCTTTAGACTCATCAAAATATACTTTAAAAATTTTATCATGGGCCGACTAACTTATACTGATTCTCGCTTTAAAGGCGAACATTGAGGTCTCTCTTATTCAAACCAGTAGTTGATCTATGCTTCGTTGCGTTCGTTACTTGCCCGGAGCCACTAAATAGTTGATATTTGTAGTAATTTTTAACTATTTTTACAGATCTACAAAATGGAGATTCTCCGTTCGACAAACACAATTGCAAGATTTCATTTAAATTTGGTAAAGCACGGACTACACACAAATTTTCCTATATTTAGACAAAAAATTGCGAATTTTTGAATTGAATAATTCATTAATTCTCTCAAGTAATGAGGTTAAATATGGGAAATTCAAGAAACACATGAAATTTGCAGTATCATTTATCAAAAAATAAATTTGATTTAAAAGAATATAATCAGACATATAAAATTGTCAGATACAGACGTCAAATCTTATTATGTATATAATAAAAATTAAACAACAAACAACTATGCAGGAACCGTATATATTGAGGGTTTATCGTCAAGAGCATATAATAAACAAAATAATAATTCCTTAAAGTAAAACTTAAGGGTTATTAAGGGCTATTTGAGTATGTCGCAATTATCAAAGAGTCGACAAATAATAGAAAACCATCTCCAATTTTTGCCCTATATTTTTACTAAATATTTTTCGTTAGTTTCATAGAATCGCGTTAGGATAACTACTTGCATTTTCACACCACACAGCTAATATTTATATCAGTTTAAAACCATTTATACAGCACAGAAAAGTAAGAATTCTCCGTTTGACAAACACAAGGTTGAGGTCTCATTTGGTGAAGCAAATTTTTCCCTAAATGCGTGAAAATTTATCGAATTTTACCTTAGGATAACTATTAATTTAGCCATACGACATAGTTGATTATTCGTAGCAATATACCCCTGATATAAAACAAAAAATAAGGATTTTTCTGTTCCACAAACACATATAAATTTTGTATGTGCGCTGTGGCCCACAAGTAGTTATCATAACGCAGTTCTGTGAGACAGGTGTCTGTCACATCAGATGACTTAGTTGTGCAAGACATGGTTTTAGAGTTATCAAGACAAGTATTTTTTTCCTGTATAAATTTTTGAGCTATATAATTGGGCTTACATTCATCACGTAAGGGAGGATTGCCTTTTTTGATATTTTAATAAATTTTCATACTCTTGAAATTAGAATGTTTAACATCAAAATACGTGATGACTTTAGGTTGCTCGTTTTGAATCGTAGGTCTGTCGAGGGAGGCGCGTTCCAATCAGCGCAGATTGCTGACCGCGTTCGGATCCGATACGGACTCGGACCTGTTGAAATTCAACCAGCTGAAATTCCGTAAGAAGCAGCTCAAGTTTGCCAAGTCGGCCATTCACGATTGGGGATTGTTCGCGATGGAACCAATCGCCGCGGACGAAATGGTGATCGAGTACGTGGGCCAGATGATACGTCACAGCGTGGCCGACTTCAGGGAACAGAAATACGAAGCCACGGGCATCGGAAGCTCGTACCTCTTCAGGATAGACTTGGAGAATATCATAGACGCGACCAAGTGCGGAAATTTGGCGCGGTTCATCAATCACAGTTGTAACGTGGGTTTCGGATGTCTCGTTTTCTCGAATTTGTATTTATTTTCGTTTTTTTTTTCGTTGCAGCCGAATTGCTACGCGAAAATCATCACGATCGAGTCGCGCAAGAAAATCGTCATCTATTCGAAGCAGCCGATAGCGGTGAACGAGGAGATTACTTACGATTACAAGTTCCCTATCGAGGAGGACAAGATTACGTGTCTGTGTGGCGCCGCCACCTGTCGGGGCACTTTGAACTAAACGAAAGTGAGGTTGGGTGGTTTTAAATTGTGTTTTTAATGATTGTACATAATTTTCTGTAAATATAGCGGATTTGTTAATACATCATCAACACATTCCGTCTGAGTATAGTTTTATTTCTTGATTTTTTTGCAACCGGAGAATCTCGGCACAAATCATGTTCTCCAGGAAAATTGGTATTGGAATAAAAAATGGTTGCAATTACCAACCGTGCCAGTTTTAAAGTGGTCGAAGACTCTCATATATGGAATAAGAAGAAGAACATTAGCGCATGGCCCACTAAACAATCGGTTTGTATTCGTCTTAAAGGCTTCGACATCGGTTTGAATTAAGTGGTTTTTGTTTACTGAGTGTTTTGTGAACGTATATGTCAAAGTATATTTTTGTCACCGGAGAATAATTGTTGGCGATGTTTAAGTCATTGTATATGTGTTGGTCTTTGATCAAATGAAGAACTTTCGCGGATGTTAGTCATGGGTGAATGTTCCTAGTCAATGTGCTAAATGTTACACAAATTGGATAGAAGAAGTCTGCCAGCCGACGGAAGGAAACGTCTAAGCATTATTTCATTTCCTCTTAACTTGCCATTGTTAAATTTAAAATTTAAATTAAAATGTTTCTTTGGTGAATTCAGGTGTTCTTGTAGCTCGACTAACCTATTAACATTAACATTAAAAACTTAGCTGTTTTTGAAAATGGGATTATTTACTATAGAGAAGAATAACTTGGCAAGTTTACATGCAACGTTAATTTTTAACGTTTAATTTTAATATTAATATTAATGTTGACGGATTGTTGCGTGAATGCACCATACAAGTCGTGGAATTAAAAAAAAAATGATCAGAATTTGCTGATCTCAATGTCAATCACCAAACCCATGCGCATTGGGCCCATAGAAGCAAATAAAAAGAATCACTACCACACAGAATACAACTATATTAAGTGGTCTGTGACGACAGATCGAATTATCGTTCTTCGAAAGTGAATTTTGGTGTCTGATTGGGCTGTCGAATTCTCTAAGATATCAGTTCAGTGAATCGATTCCAAGACGCTTTTTCAGTAGAATCAGCAATAATTGTATGGTAGTGTATTTTTGGCATATCGTGTATTCTATACTCGTCGGTGCCTTTGTCTGCCAGTTCAATTATTTCATTTAATTCAAAATTGTTTCTCGATATATGAATATAGGTAAAATGTTTGGCATCAACGGTGTTCAAGGAATATTTAAAATTACTAACTGAGCTTTAAATTATTTTCCCGTAAAGGGTACGCCGTATTCAATATCCAAGCTCGTTAATTCTTCACGCCCGGGTAACAATTCGTACTGCAATATCATTTTCATCGACCAACACTTCGACAACAAGTGCAGCTTGGTCAGGGCCTTGAGGCATGGCGCCGGCAAATTGCTTCGCACGTACACGTGTTTATTTTTCAAAATTTCTCGCAAGGGCCGTTTGAGGATGACGATATGCAGTCCGAATGGCGTATCGCAACTGTTGTAGAGTCTTCGCTCGAACACTGTGTTGCTGTCGAAGAATACCCTAGCACTAGTAACTGGCGCGCGTTCAATTTCGCGCCAGATGTTCAGCAAGTGACCGAACGAGGGGCCCTCGACGAAAACGAAGCAGCTGAGGCCGTTATCGATCACAAAACCCGTCAAAGTGTCTCGGTGGGCGAGTATTTCCTCCATGAAGGACGAGGCCAGTGCCTTGTCGGTGACTACGCAAAAGAGCCTCTTGAAAGTGTCGGGGATTCGGTGCAGCACCAAAGGAGCCGCTTGAGGAGCCAACAAGTAAGCTTCGAGCGTTAAGCTGGCTCCGTTTCGCAAAAGAAGCGACTCGGTCAAAATATTTGCCGGTGCTGTGTCCATAACCAGATTGATTTCGTTCAAAGACGAGTAACCTCGCCCTTTCTCTTGAGGGAGATCGTAAAATTTCATGAACGTTGTGTTACTCGGCACGTGCAATTGGCCTTGCTCCTTGAACTGCCAAACGTTGTCCAGCAAAGAGCTTAGATCGAAGGAACACACAGCCACCATAATTTCGGTCTCTCTGTCGGCTTCCTCTGCACCGATGCAAGCCCACTCGCCTTTCGAGATTTGGGCGATGTTCGCGTCGTTTCGGTCGCCTCCGAACACGGCGTCGCTTCGCTTCGCAGCGTTGCCGGTTTTAACCGCCCCTATTTCGACCACGAGCCTCTTGGAGTACAAAAACTCCAGCAGTTTTATTTTCGGGAGGCCGTGGGTGAAGTAGATTCGACTGTCGTTGAGAAAAATCGATCGTTGGATGGGAATAGGAGCCGTTTTGCACTCCGCGATCGCGGGGATAGAGTACCGGCAATACAGAGCTCTGTAAGGAGTGTTTTCGAGGCGTTCACTAGGGAAATTTTCGATCGATTTGAGTTTAACGACCAGCGGATTCAGTGAGACTTTCTGGTCGGTAGTGAGGAGGTTACCCACGGTGATAATCATTATGAACTTGGATATAGGGTGTTCGGTGTCTTCTGCCTTAAATATTGCTCGTTCCGGATCGGTAAGGAGCACTTCGCCTGTTATCGTTACCACCAAACGGTTATATTTCTCATCCCTCATTGTTGCCGCTTTGTTGTATTTCATTACTGGCACGTGAAGTTCGCCGCTTTCGAAATTTACGATGTCATGCAAATATTCGTTGTCTTTTTCGTAATACTTCAGCACGGCTTCGTCTTCAGTCAGGTTTTGATTCATTTTGGTATCTTCTTCAAATACTTCTACGAAGCCTTCGTTAACTCGGGCGAAGTTCTCTAGAACTTCGTCTACGGGCGGCGTATCGTCCACAAATATGGCGATTTCTAACACGCGTTGTTTCAAAATTGTTAACTCTTCTACGCTTAGTTGCTTTACCGAGTGTTTCACGCAAATGGGAATCCATACGAGCTGGTTTTTCCTAACGGTGGTCAAGAACTTCGCGCAGTTGGGCGTCCACACTTTTACAATTCCGCCGTAACAGTCGAACGAGACGGAATATCGGCGTTTTTCTGGAATTAATTCGTAATCTATACGGCCCCGTGTGTTTTCTCCGGCATCGCAATGCGCTATAAGAAATTTAACGTCAACAGTTGTCATCGTTGGTCTTATTAGGCAATCCATCGAATTGTCAAATTAAATTCAATATGGAGTCCAAGGGCAAATAATCAAAGCACAAAAGTGTTTAGCTGTTTTCTTAACTATAAAAGCTTATGGAAAAATGCATACAACTTGCGTTGTGGTTGGCTGTGGGAACCGTTCAAACCGCGATGAAGTTTTTTTGTAAAAGAACGGTAGCCAAGAAATCGATGAAGGTACCAAGAGAAAATATAAGAATCAACCTACTGAAAAATCTACTCAAACAGACTTAAAGATAGATGAGTTGACTCTAAAATTGAAACAGCGCAGTTTTACAGCTAAAAAATTGAAGATTGGGAACAATGAAGAAAAATATACTGGCTTTGAATATGGTTCGTCTGTTAATATTTGAAATCATAAAGGAATATGTTCCCATTTCCCATATTATATCACAGCACTAAGTTGCTTTAATCAGTTGATCCTCACCCTTGTAAAGGTGTAAAGACTGAATCCACCTTTTAAGATGTGGCATATCATTTTAAAATTAATACCTATAAAATACCTATTATAAAATATAAAGATTTTCTTTCAAATTTAAACCATTACGCACAAGTTAGAGTTCTCCAAACCATATACCGTTTTTTCAAGCTTTTATGGTTTTGATTTCGGAATGAGGTTAAGACCCGCCAGTTATAAAGTGGAAGGGACCGTTCTTTTCAGCACGTGAACCACAAGCCAAGGTCGTATTTAAGATGTCGGCCGACAAGTACTGTGCCGTGCGGACTGTTGTATTTTAAGAGTCGGGAAATTTTCTTTGATTAAACTGTTATATTAATTCATATTAGTGTGCTTTTTATAAATCTTCCTAAAACAGTCCCTACTTGAGGCAGGTCAATTCCAAGTTGAATTTGCTCGTTAGATGTATTAAACACATTAGAAAACTTAAACTGATTCCCAATTTAAAGTTATAACATAACATAACATTTTCCTAGGAAAGAAATACAAAATCTTATGTAGATAATGCTTTGGAGTGTACTGTCAGTTCTACGAAAGATTATTTTCTTAGCCGTCGAAACTTTTGAATAATTTCTATTCCGTCTTGTGTTTGTAATTAGTAATTACCAATTTGTTATTCAATTGTGTTGCAAGACTCAGTGTGCTTTTTTATCTGGGGAAAGTGGAGCCATAAAATTAACGTCCAAGGTGATTAAAACACCCTATGCCACAGTACGTGACGTAGTTGTGAATGATATTCAAGAAATGAAAACGCGGAGGGATGGTGGGGTCCCAAAAATTCTACTTGGTATGCACCATGCCGGAATATTGAGACGGTCGATATATGATGCGTATCAGAAGAATAACAATTAAAACTTTACAGAAAGAGTTTTGAACATTGACTGATGCCAAGAGACTTTGCGTGCGTTGGTGCAAAGAATTGGTTGTTATTACAAAACCAGCAATAAGAGACAAGTTTTTGTATGCACGAAGTACCGAAGTACGGATGTGTGTCATTGAATAATTGAGAATCGAAGAGAAACTCAAGCGAGGTAGACTTTTGGTTAGAACTTCATAAAAAGTTACCAAATTGAAATACCGGATAAACTCGTAAAGACTATAGATCGTTTGGAGAACTCTATAATGGTATATCAAACAAAGGTAGAAACAAAAAACAAAGTTATTGTTTCAATAAAAAAATATATTTTTAAAAATCTATTTCGAATGGTCCCCAAGATGCATCGGGAACAGCTTCTAAATTTACACATTCATCATTCTGTTCCACAAGTTTCTTGCTCACATTGGAAAGAGTGAGAAATTTAGCCAAGAGTTCTGGCATTATGGCTTCAGCGAGATACTGAAGAGCAATTTTTGAATTTTTATATCAAAATTTCCAATTCGTATAAATTCTTTGTTTAAATAATATATTCGCGGACCATATAACAAAATCGCAATATTCCAGATTTCATATAAATAAAATACAGTTGTTATTGAGTCGAATTTGCTGTCGTATCGCCAATCATCCTGTTGGCTTCTTCAGAGCTAAACTGAAACTGCCTCGCATTTTACTCCGGCCCTGCGTATATATTGTTTGAGGGAGGCGGAGCTAAATGATGGGCATAAACATCGATGCCAGATTCCCATATTGGTGACAGGTAAAGACCTGAGTCGCGGTTAAGGTTGTTTGGTTGCTTATGTTGGTAGAAGAATTGATTGTATGCAAGAATTTTAGTTTAATCGAATAAAATTTTCTATTCTTCTTTGAGTCTAGTTGATATTTTTCGTTCGGTCTCTGCAATGTATTCTTTGCCGCATATGCATGGAAAGCTGTAAACTCCTCGTATCTCGAACGGAATTTTGTCTTTTACGGATCAAAGATGTTGAGTAAATCTGGGTTTGACGTTATAGTTTTTAAGAACTTTCTATATGTGGTCAGTGATGTTTTGAATGGAAGGAAGGAAACTGCAGTGACAGAATATTTAAATAGAGAGCTTAAAGATTACAGCCAAATAAAATTATCTCAGGAAGACTGGATACCAATTTATTGGCCAATCCAAGGCCGGACAACATCGGTTAGAAATGTCGAAGCAACAATACAGAAAGCCAAAATCTACAACACATTTTTAAGTATTTTTTTAATTTTTTACGTAATTGAATTTTGAATAAACAAAGGTTCAGTATAAACGATCAACGAACTGTCAAACTTTTGTCTTCAATTCAAATAAAATTTTTATTTGTGTCCCTATGATAAATTCATCACGTGATCCGTCATTTAAAAGTATTTTAATGGTCTATCCAATAATGAAAATATTCAATATGTCGCCCATAAACCCCAAGATCATGTTTGCCTTATTTTGGGCTTTGCAGGCAAAAATACGACACCAAACTTTTTATATTTTCACGAGTTTCTCAAAACCGTTTCACTCTAGAATCATTTTGCAGGCAGGCTTATGTTCCTCAAAAAAATCTTTCCGACATTCCCATGCTATCCCATCCGTATATTATAACAATTACTGCGTTTTGGATGGCAGCACAAACCTTTCCGGTGGATTATGTATCAGCTCACACTGATCGCTCGTCGATCCTGATCTTTCTGCTGCTGTCGGGCCGCCGGATCCAGGACAACGAAAACCCCATCCCTCGCACTCGGGGAGTATCTCATTGTTGTTTCCCTGCTATCTTCTTCCATGTCCTAAATTGTGAATATCACGTGAGGGTAGAATATTAAAACGTCAAAGTTTTTAATTTTGCAAGACTTCTCTCACGAAAAACATAATACAATACAATGACTATGTTATAGTACTATGCTGTTTCTTATTGCGAGAGAGTAATAACAAGTAAATTTTCAATGACAGGCTGAACAAGTTAAAGTTAAAGGTAAATTTAAAGTTCAGACAAGTTTCATATTTCAGGTTTCAAGTCCTACCACAATATCTTGTAGATCTAATGTAATACTTTTTAATTGTACGATTAAATGAAAGGAATTAAGTACGAAACTATCAATTTTCGCTGTGAAGGGTTTTAATATTTTGCTAGAGAATATGTTGGAGAAGCAATGGTGCTGACAATAGATCGAAGAGGTAATGCTGGTTTGTGAATCTTAGGGAGTCTGCAGAGACGAGAAAATTTTAGAGTCATGAGGGGTGACAGACTTTTTCACGAACTCTGATGGAAAAGAAACCTTAATAACAGATTTAAGGTGTTCCTTAGATGGCGTAGGATTTTTTTTAACTTGACGATGTGACCCTTCTGCAAGAATATCGTGAATCTTTTCCTGATATTCATTTGTCTTCATGACCGCCGTAGCATTTCCTTTGTCTGCTTTTTGGATTACGATGTCGGGATTAGATTTTAGAGATTTTCATTGATATATGATTGCTACAAACATTTCAATTTGCACACCCTCACAAACAACACTCACAAAACACTAATTTTAAATAATGTAGTTAGCTCAGGTCACGTTTCACTTATGAAATAGAAATGCCGTTTCTTGACTTGTAAAACAAAGTCAGATTCAAAGTACTTATAAGCTTACTCTTGCTCTTAAAAGCCTTCATCTGCTCCTTAGAGTAAAAGCTATTGGAAAACATCAAACAACTTATAACATCCATATTGGTGACTGGCGGAACTCCATTAATTGAATAGTCTAAACAATACATGTCTAAAATAAATGTATCTAAACTATCTACTAATTGTAGCCTCATCTGATATCTACAAAAACATTTCATAAAAAACACTAACTCTTTTACAGTTTTTTAATTACCTTTGACCAATATCGAGTTTTTGTTTTAATAATTTCTTTGAATAAAGAATCTCCATCTCAAAATAACTAACATAGAAACCAGAACTCGCCACACAAATGATTTTCTACGTGACCTACTAGACGGCCATATATGATGGCGTGGTTTGGATTGCCTAATTTGGTATAGCACGGGCCCGTTAGTTGGAAACCTTTCTTCTTAAAAGTTGCTAGTCTCGCGGAGGCCGGTCTTCTAATTTCGGGAGCGGGATAAATAAAACCAACGCTGAGGTAATAAATTTTTTGACATTTTTTCAAATTTGATGGGTAATGTTACATATTTATTAAAAATATGATAAAGTCGTGTATAAACATATAATCTTGTGCTTACAAAACGTACCATCTCCATAAGCAACCCGCGCGAAAACAAAACGAAGCGTAGGAAATGTCAAAAATCGGACGCGAAGTTAATTCTAACGACGTAGCTTGTAGTACCTACATCGCACATTCGTCGACTTAACGTACACCCTCGTCGTTCCTTTAGGATCGACGAAATAAAACTTACCGTTTTCGTATCACAGTGCTCGATTAAATCAAGTTTATACACGCTAAACGTATGTTATATGTAATAATGAAATATGTACCGATATTGCTCAATTAAATCGATAAATTGATATGTGCGAACGATCAGAACCTCTCGCGAAAGGCTACGGGCGATACGTCGAGACCAAATCGTGAAAATTCTGCAAAAAATTGACAAACAAGAAAAGCCAGATCAGTCGTCCCATGGATTTTAAATCCATTTGGAGTACATTGGTCCGTGTATCAATAATAGATGTACTATAGACGTTCCTGTATTTGAATCCTTTGTACGACTGTTAATACAGTTAATACATTGTCCATTTGAAGTAAATCTGTTTTTAAGGCATTTGTCATATGGATGTCCCGTTAATGTTCTATATATATCTATTCTCTATATATATAAAATCGACGGTAGAGGTATCATGCACCTTTGCTTATTTAACTAACTAAAGTCTTGATTTTAGCGCAAATAATAACGCGTAGCATAACCAAAACTTAAATTCATCAGTCATAGAGGAAACGCTAACATTAACCAAAGGATACAACACAACGTCAAGACACAGAATAGACAAACATACTCTGTGAACACAACTCTATTAACTTATGGAAGTCCAAAACCACTTAAGTTAACTGATGTAAACAATGTTCAATTATTTTGAATTAATGTGTTTCGCAGTTTATTTTTGGAAGAAGATAAAAATGTTTTGTACTTTCAGTTTTGGTTATTACAAGAGTACTGAACCAGTAATTGAGAAAGGTAAAAAATTAAGAATCGTCAATTCTCATTTCTAGTTTCCAAACAAATGATGAAAATATTAATGATTGTACTGAAGTGGCTTTTACTTGATGAAAATCCATTTAAAATAGTTAAATAAGAACAAACGTTGTTCAGATTTTCACATAGATATATTTAAATGACAGCTATTTCGGCAACACCGTACCTTTATCAAATGCGAATATCAAACGTATCGATGTTTATAAATACAAAACAGGTAGTAATTACTTAATGTGAGTTATTCAATTGAAATTTAACAAGGGGGATCCATTCAAATCCAATTCATTAAGTAATACATTCGAACCTCTCATTTTATTAATCCCCATAGCTTCTAGATCATCATTTAAAAACAATAGCTCAGATTCTAATTACGCTATAGAAAAAAACAATTTTGACGACAATTTCGATATTTTACACACTGTTTCAAAAAGTAGAAAATTAAATTTACTAGAAGCTATGGAGATTAATAAAATGAGAGGTTTGAATGTATTACTTAATGACCAACTGGATTTGAATGGATCCCCCTTGTTAAATCTCACATTAAGTAATTACTACCTGTTTTGTATTTATAAACATCGGTACCGTTTGATATTCGCATTTGCTAAAGGCACGGTGTTGCCGAAACAGCTGTCATTTAAATATATTTATGTGAAAATCTGAACAACGTTTGTTCTTATTTAAATAACTAACAAAAATATTATTGTATTAGCACTATAATATTAAATGCACTAGGGAGAAAATTTTTAACATACTTATGCTGCACATTATCTACGAAAAAAATAGCACATAAGTCACAGTACACTTACAGAGACAACAAAAAATAACTACCAGTTAGAAAATAAAATTAAACACAAGGTACTTCAATATCTTGAAAATAGTAGTATTAATGCTTTCAATGGAGTCGCAAGTAGAACTTGGCCCTCTTGAGCAGTAGCTAAGTAAAATTTAAAAATGTTGCAAGTAATGATTTCCTTCTTAGGTATGGGTTATAATCAAAGTTGGGGCCCTCTCGCGTGTTTTAGGAAATCTGGTGGTGCTTTTATTTTTTATTTTCATTTACTAGAATATTTTTTTATTTACTTTTTATGTTCCTTTAATGTAGGACATCCATTTTGGCCTATCTGGGATCTTTCATTTTTCATTGTGGTCTATTTATTAAATTGTTTGTTTATAACTAAGTTTTACAATGTCTGCAACGAACTCCTGTTCAAAATTAACGCACTATTTACATTTTCTGACTTGTAGTATCTCTCGAAAAGGGCCATTCGGTGGTTAGAGGTCGATGAATGCAGAATTCTATCTCGAAAACATTAATGAAAATCCCCTTCAACCATTTATAGGTCTCGCATGATATATTTGGCGTTTGGCGTTCTATGAAGATCGAATTGTAGTTCAAAAACATTATGGTCTAAAAAGATTGGGGATGCCACAGGGCTCTAATTTAGGACCCCTTCTGTTTGTGCAAGGTTCTGAGATTCAGTCTAAAAGATGAAATTACTGATTTTCAGAGACTAAAAGATCTGAGCGTGCATTTCGATCAAAAATTTACGTTCGTGAATCACATATCGAGAATTGTATCTGGAGCTAATCGTAATTATGGTTTAATGGTGCGTAACTGTAAATCATTGAAAATTCTTTACTTTAGTTTTGTTCCATCCAAACTTGAGTACTCACCGCTAATGTGGAGTCCGATCTATTCTTGTCACAGCTATGCAGTTGATGATGTACAGAAGAATTTTTGGAAAAACCTAGCGTTTAAAGCTGATGGTTCATATCCACCGGTTTACATTAGTTTAGATTTAAATAGATCTAATTTAATTATTATTGAACGGAGACGGTGCGTGTCTGTTATCCTCCTTTATAAATTGTTATATAACGTTACCAACTGTCCCACTTTGTTAGCGTACTGAAATATTCGTATAAAACGGTCAATTTCTAGCACTAAAGACACTTTTAACTGTGTTGGAGCCAGAAAAAACCTGTTAAAAAGTTCTAATTGTAATAATTTGTCAAATGTATGTGAAATATTTAACTGCACACTGAATGGACATAAACACAACATAAATTCAAGGCCTAGTCGACGTTAGCTGTGGAAAATTTAATTAATTTGGTTACTGCATATTGTTGTTTTCATATTTCTATGCACTATGATTAAGAGTTAGAGCAGTATTTTATCTTCAAATGGAAAAATATTCATTAAGAAACCACCCAAAAGTCCATACATTGTACATTAGAAATTAGAAAGTTTTTGAACTTGACCACCAAAAATTAAATTTTATCTGGTTTAATGTTGTTTAATTATCTTTATTTATATTATATTAACTCTAAATTAAATAAAGCGAGCAATAACAAGGACATAATTACAAAAATTAGAGAGGTGCTTTAATTTGGAACAGGAGTTTAGTAGTGTTTAATAGTTACTTCTGCATCCACCGTCCTCCGGAGGACACCGTGACAAATCAAAATTACAGATTCCTTACTGGCCGAAGTATTTCCCAGAGTTTTACGAAAAAATGTCGACAGTGGTGGGAAACTGATCTCGACGTGCCGCAAAACTGAAGCTTCAACGAGAAACGAAAAAATCGCCCAGCTAAAATATTGTCCGGAACGGAAACCCTTAGCCAACCGAAGAAAAAATATCACAAAAAACCGCGCGTCGCACGCGCACTTAAAAAATATCACATATACATATATATACTTTTGTTTAAACATTTTTACAGGATTAACACGCTTCGACATTACGGCAACGCTGTACAAAGAGAGAGAAAGTGAGAGAGTCCCTTATTTAATACGTTAACAATTTGTTTTTGTTTGTACAATTACACACGCCTTAACGTCCTATACTGGGCGTCAACGACGAGATTAATGGCCGAGTTTAAACTCAATAGTCGTCAATTTCAAGAACCGTCAGCCCATTATCGCGGTAAACATTGGCGTCGAATATTAAATAACTACTGACAAAACCCAAAGCATGGCTCAAACCTCAAGAAGGGTGCGTTGACACCATGGTGAGATTCTGGGAAGACAGTAAGTTTACGAATACTTGCAGATTTAGATACTAGAGTTTTAAAATTAGTGAGTTTTCATAGTGAATATAGATTTACAGATGCTAACGATTGTTGATACCGATTTGAAATGAAGAGGTTATTAATATTAATATTATTGTTAATTGCTAATAAACAAAATATATTTAAGATATTTAACAGTTTATCCTTATGCCCTAAAAACTAATATTGCTGATTCCAGTTGCGAGTCCGATTTATCGGATCTCGTAAGGTTCAATCTGGACCGCCGTCCAAAACAGAGATAGCAACATAAAAGAAACCCCACGTAGTACAAAGCTAAAGCTTGTTTTTATTTGGTTAATTTGCCTTTCTTAGCAAAAATTTCCTGACACAAATTATTTTGTTAACATCCCAACAACGTTTTATTCTTTATTAATATCTGCGTCGCTTAAATAATTTTTCGAATAGTGTCAACAACCGATAGCACCTGTAAACATTCAAGTGTGCTGGTATTTGCAAATGCACTTTTTTTTCCAAAACCTTACACACGCTAGCATCTGTAAATATGCCACCCGTAAAGGTACTTACTGAATTGTGGAATTTCGATGGTATTATTTTTATGCATCACCTGGCGAAAGGTACTACAATTAACGCAGAATATTATTCGAATAATTCGCGTTGAAAAAAAAAAGTTCATCCCTGATTAGAAATTTTGCGTTCGCGGAACTGGTTTCTTAATTTTTTACTTGTTCGTAACGCGTTCGACCGGGGATATTTAGTTGAGGACGAATTCTAACTTACAAGTACAACTTGAAAATTTACAGGTTAGAATCGAATAAGGTTTAAAAATTAAAATTTTTGTGGTTTAGCAAGAAAAATATACCAATTTTAAATAAGCACTTTTCTTGTTATATGATGCACTATGATGCAAGTGACGAAGATTTGAAAGAGTAGAATAAAATTATAAGGTTCTAAAAACGAAAACTTTAGTGAAGAAACTGTACAAACAACACAGTTATACAGTAGATATTTAGCACCCCAGTACTACCACTAACAGCCTACTCGCATTTTTATGGTTTTTATGCAACGAAGCTGCCATATTTCGAGATGTGTCTGACCGATTTGGCATTACAATCAGTTCCTTACGCAAAATTGTAAAGAGAGTTACATATTTTCTATCCAATTTATCTGTGGAAGTTACAAAATGGCCAATCGATGAAGGGAAGCATGTAATTGAGAGTCATGTTAGGCAAAATGATTTTAAGGGCATTGTTGGGATTATTGTTGAGACACACATTACAATTGAAAAGCCATTGATGATTCATACCTAAACAGGAAATACTTCTATTGTATCCAGTTAAATACCTGGGAAAATTATACAACTTTTAGTATATGCACTGGTTTTTCTTAGACCCTATTGTTAGTATAAGTCGTTTTTTATTTTTTAAGGTTGTTGTTGGCGTTTTACAGACATTTTCATTTAAAAAACAATTTTGTTATCTTTTCAAGCCCAAGTTGTTTGTGACCATAGAAAAAAAATACTGGATATTTTTGTCAGATATCCGGGATCTGTCCACGATAGCCAAACTCGGAACAAAAAAGTACGCTTTTCAAAAAATAAATTTACTTAGTTGCTTTACCATAAATGTAAGAATTAAAATTAATTATACATTGCACCATTGCAACCTGTTTGGTTTTAATATACTCATCGACTCATCATGAATCACGATGCACGGTCGATGTAACTTAATAATCGACAATCAAAGTCAAAGCGCAATGTCCTCCTGACCTACTGTTACCTACCTACTGTTAAAACAGCATAAAAATGTATTTGTTAGTACGTTTAAAATGGTATGATTTAGATATAAAAAGTACCTTCTGGCAACACTGCAAACAAATCAATTACCACAGAACAAAAATTGCGTTTTGTCGGAATACAAAAAATCCGCATGCACATTGACAAAATTCCAGACTAATTCGATATTTTTCGCGTTTTTTTTACGTTTGTGCTTAAAATGGCAGCGCTTCTGACAATTTTTTAATAAATCAGTATATATCAAGACCAATGTTTGTTTTTCGCAAAAGTGGCGGTCTAAATAGGCCAATAATCTCGCGAACGCCTGACGTAAATAGAAAAGAAAAAACGCAACTATAACGGAAAGGAGCATTTTAAGACAAACGCGGTCCGATTTTTGACACCTCGCATTGTCCATATGTTAACTCGTTTTTTTTAACGGTTATATGTCAGCTGTATAGACGGAATTTACCCTTAAACATCCGGGGGACGATTCCCCGCCCTAAACGGCCGCGATCTCGTATAAAAATACAAAAAAAATATACCCGAAACGAAAGCCGCAACCTAACGTCAATGAAGACCGCGTCGCGCGAAATTTACAAATGGCGGCGGAACCGCCCCCTCGCCCCGTCGCCCGTAATCGTACCCGGCCCCGACCGGTGAGGGTTAAAAATTAATCTCGCTGCTTCTATAACGTTAAAAACGGCGTCGCGATTAACCCTGACCTACTTCTTCGGCTTCTTCGGGCTTCCCAGCGGCGACTCCTGCAAACGTCACACGTTAACCGCGAAAATTAACCCACCTCGACCAGAACCAACCAAATCCAGTTCGTCCAGCGATTCGAGCTTCGCTATCGGCGCGATCTTCTCTCCTTTTTGCTCGTTGTCCTTGGCCGCGAGGCACTCGGCCCAGGATTGGTCCTGGAAGTCGAACGCCTTGTTGAAGGAAGCGAACCTGTAGATGCGAGAAGTAATATTAAACCTTTAACCTAACTTTTGGGTGGCGTTCTTTCATGAGAAACGACCCCATAGAAATGAGAAGAAGAATGAGCTTTCGATTAGGTTCAAGTACACCACACCACACAAGAGATGGTCCTAATTTAAGGAAGTCGGATACACCAGGTCGGTGAGCAGTGAGCAGACCCTTGAAACTAAATCTTGTAAATTGTAAGTGTTTTAAGTATTGTAAATTTGCACTTTGCTGATTCCTCCAGCGTTTTCAATTTCCTGTATTTATTTCTAATTTGATATCGAATCTTAGAAGAGTGAAAATATTCGGTTGTGATGTAGAGTTAAGGAGAACCATGTTGTGCAGTTTTAAAGAGAACCGTTTCAGGTTTCCACTGTTGCCAACTGCAGGAAGGCAAGAGAAAATGTCAACTTGTAAGTAACTTGTAGGTTTTCTTCTTTTTAGTTCTTGGGTAGCTGCAAAGGATTTAGCGTAAAACCGGAAGTTTTTCCCGGGAAAATTTTCAAATTTGAGGCTAAATAACTTGCTGAAGAATATGTGGAAGCGCCAATGGTGCTTACGATAGGTTTGTGTAGTTGTTTTGTGAATTTTGGGAGGACCGTAATCGTCGTGGAATTTTAGAGTCTTGAGGAGAGTGAGAGTGAGAGTGAATCTTTAGGCGGTAAGACTTATCTAAGAGGAAGAGGAATTTTGTCTTGGTAGTCGTATTAAAACTAGATTCTGTACTTGTCCTAAAATCTCCCAACATCTACAATAGGTAAAATATAAAATTCCTCTTGAGCAGCAGCTGTTTAGAGTAGCAAAGAAGACAGAAATACAGGCTGAGTCAATGATAGAGTAAAGTACATTGTCTCATTGATTAGTTTAAAGTATACAGAGTGGCTAAAAAAACGTGACACCCTATTTTTAAATTTTGTTTTGAATTCTTCTTAAAATTCTTCAACTTTTTTATTCAAAGTAATACACACCTAAACCTAATAGTTTTTGCAATATTTCCCTTTTTATAAAAAATACTAGGTTTCACAATTGCAAAAAAATCATGATAGAGCCCTTTTTTGTTTTTAAATGTAGATCACTCGTATTTTATATTACCGACGTACAGAGTGTTCAAAATAAACGAATACATTTGGATAATTTTAAATTGAAATATTTTAATTTTATTAAATGGCACCATAAATATTATTATTTTTTCGGAATGATCTTACAAACATTTATAACTTTTATTATGTTTATTTGATGACCCTTCTTTCAGTCTAAAGTCTATTACTATAACATTAATTGGCCATAACAAAACCATTAACCATCAGGGCTCCGCTAATATTAAAAAATGAACAGGTGAAAGAACTTTGTTGGAGTCATAGATAAAACAACAACATCCAAGAAACCAAGAAAAAAACACTTAGTTTACTCATCAATAACAGTAAATTGATGAGTAAACTTAGTAGCATCTATCGAGTAAAGCTTTGGCATATTTTGCAAATTTGATCTATCGACAAAAAAAACTAGTTACCTATCTCTTCTGAATGTTTAGGAAATCGAATCACTCGAAAAATGTTTTAATGTTATCTGTATTGCAGCCTGCCATAGAACACAGCATTTTGATAAAACATAATTAATTCAAACTACAAAAAAAGCACTGAAATTCTACGGAGAAAGACAAACAACACAACACAAACAATGAGACTTGGTTAAGAACCCCGCCAGTGACGTGACCCGTGGGCTCCATCTACATGCTTTGTTGTATCATGTTTCAAAAGCGAGAGAACTACATAGCCACAGATAAAAACCATAGCTAGAGACTGATCTACAGATGACAGGCAAAGTGGCACGGTGGTATATACGGAAGATGGACCCATAGCGTTATACCAGACGAAGAGAAACAGTCTACCCGGTACAACGGTGAGATAGATTCCCATATAACTCGGAAGAGTACGAGTTGCGAAGAACATTAGAAATAAAAACTGAACTCAATTTTAACCCTGCTAACATAATGAAATGCCGTTTTCCTTGGGTCTCCGAAGATAATGGAAACCCAAGAAACTAACCAAAGAAAATAGGGATAGATATTAAAAAAACGACTGACAGAGACAGTGAAATAATGCCAGAAGCTGGTGTCACTGAGCAAAGAGCCGTAGCCGGGGCTTTTAGAATGTAGAAGCACTCAAGAGAGTGTGAATGAGGCACTAGGAGTCGCGTCAGGTCGCACTAGTCTACTTATAAAAACCTTAGCGTGACAGTCAATGTCCAACATATCCGAAATTTACAAGAAATGTATCTACAAATTTGAATTTAAAGAAAAAGCGAGTAATGTTGGAGAACGGTATATAAATGCAAGAAAGCAGCGCCAGTCGCTTACCTATGCAGCACCTGCGATTGTTGGCTGCGCGAGATCGGTTTGGGCTCGCTCACAGACCTCTGAAAAGTGCACCTACTGCGACTCGGCTCTCCCGCAAAATTCTCGTACTCGGGCAGTTCCGGTTTGAGGGTGGACGCCTCGCTGCAGGACGATTGCGGAGGTTGCTGCTGAACACCTTGACCTTGCAGCAGCGCGAGGATCGTCTTCACGTCCGTCGCCAGCGTCGTCTCGAGCACTTGGACACGTCGGTTCAGCTGCTCCAACTTCGTGTGCAAAGCGTCCATGTGGTTCCTGCTTATCACCAGGACATCGTCGGAATGTTGAAATATTTGGCTAGTCGATGGCTGAGGTCGACTTCCTCCGCCTGCGTCCACCGGAACCAGAACCTCATCCCCGTGGGGTTGCTCGGTCTGAGGTACCGGCGGACTGGGACTGTTGGTATAATAGCTGGTGCTGCTAGATAGCGGCGCCGACGAGTGGACGTGACCGGACACGGGCGGCAGGACGGCGGCTTGTTGGTGAGAGGAAGTGGACGTAGCCGCCGCCTGAGCGTCTATCGACGACTGGCGCCTGATCGTGCGTATCCTATGGCCGGATGGAGGCGTAGACTGAGCTGTAACACAGGACGAGAGGGCGTGGCCTTGAGCGTTAGGGCGTGGTTAAGGCGAGGGGTGCACCAAGACGTATCCGTTAACTACTAACGAGTTTGTGGTCATGCCGGAAAATACGCTACTCTTCTTAGAGCTACACCGTCGAGCATGGAAACAATCTTATATGGTTCATACCAAGAATAGTAAAAGGCGATTAGAAGTCAAAAGGATCGTTCGACACAGTGGTCTAACGTGATAACAGAGAGAATTGTGTGCATACGTTAAGGATTTTCCATCAATAAATGTTGACGTGAATGCATCACCAGGGAGCTTCGTAAATTCAAACTATATTAGAAAATATTTTAAACGAGATGGACTATAGAGAAAACCTCGATTATCTAAAGCCTAAAGTAACATCCAAAGCTTTCGCCAATCTATTAATAAGCAATTTGGACTAAATGCGCAATCATTTGCTAGTGAACTAAATAATAACGATGCATCTATTCTAAATTTTTGGGACATTCTATCAATCAAAGACTATCTTTAATATCGAAACAACTGGGATATAGAATAAATTAGAGAAACATGCCGAAAAATGTTACGGATTAGTTAAAATATATAATGGCATCAGCAGAATAAACTACCTGCAACCTCTGTTAGGCGCCACCCTCTTCTACTATTTAAAGCGAGAGACAGAAGATTCGTCTTTTAGTTGCATTCAGCGCTTTGAAGATATCGGAGATAGGGAAAGAATGCGAGAGGGAGACAAAGAACAGCGATTCGGTTCTGTGGTAGAAATTTATTTAATATCTTGACCTTACCAAGTACGTTTATATTTGAGTTCGTTATATATGTATTCAAAAATAAAAACAATTTTACTTAAAACAAACACCAGACACCTGACAGCAAAACAAAATTCATATACCTTTTGCCAAATATAAAATTTTATCTAAATAACCCTGTATACTGGGGCTGCAAGTCTTTAATCGCCTCCCTGATGAAATAAAATGTAATTTTTTAACAACTTTTAAAATAAGATTAATGCAGTATCTACTGCAAAAATTTATTAACATTTATTTGCAAAAGTAGATATCAAAACAACACTTTTAATACTGCACATAAATTTGCATCTGTAAACTACAAGAAACATCAATAAACAGAAAATAATCCTCAATATTGGTAAATATTATCCACTCTAAAACTAGGTAACATAATTATTATCTTATACCCAGCTAAAATATAAAACACAAATATACACATAAAGTCTTTAAATGACATAATAGAAGAGTGAAATCAATCCTCGTATTTCGTCTCTGTTCACTTGTGCAATGCATTTTTTTTTAAAGCTGCTTTTGGACTGCCGGCAAAGAGTTGATTAATTTTTGCGATAGAAAAATAAAGTTTTTTTTTGTGTTTTACGTTTGTTAGTTTTTAAGCAATGTTTAAATGTTATTGCCACCGTATTCCGTAACTGTGACGTAAATTTTGAACTATATTTGTTTTTACAGGTGCCATAGAAAATATTTGCCTCGCTATGCAACAAACGACTCGGTTACATTTTATTTATTCGTCTCAAAAATTATTTGCCATACTGGAGCCTAGATCATACAACAGTTTTTCGCTTAAGAAGTTAACTAAATAGTTAAATTATGCTATTTAAATTTTCTTACAATATTACTGCCGTGGTGATCCCATCTCAGATTTTATTTGTCGATATGATCTCTGCTTTTCCCGTGTTATCAACGGTAAGTATCAAAATCTAGTTCTGTTTTGCTGGTACAACTAAATATTACAAATCTTGAGGACGAGAGGAAGAGGGAGAGAAAAGAAAGAGGGAGAGACAGAAAGATCCTCGAGAAGATGTGAATGTACGAGTTAGTTATACAGGGTGTTAATAAAATATGTAGCGTAATTCTGAGGTTGAAATCAAATGTATACTCGATACTTTTTTGTATGTAAATGTGATGCAGCTATTCATATTGTTGCTTACTGAAATGTTTTAAGAGTGGTTGAATGATTAATTACCATGTTGTATGTTTCTGAGGACGATCATTTGGTTCTGAAACTTTTCCTTTTATCATCCTTGGGTTCGAACCATAAAAAAGCATACATACAGTTACATTGAAGATTTAGTTGAAAGTGTGTTTGTATGTACAGGGTATTTTCTAAATGAATACTAACAATGAAGGGGGTTTTTGGGTCCATTTTAAAAAGAAGACTTTATACGAACATATGTCCTAAACGTGTTAAGCTTTTGAGATACAGGGTGGTAAAGTTTTCAAAAATAAAATATGATTTAGGGTTTCACAGTTTTTTTTGAAACACACCCAACGGCGTCCCAACGGAATTTCACCTGTCTATTTTCGCAGACATTGATGGTAAGCTACTAATTTTTTTTTAAATAACAAATTATTCTAACAATCTCTAATCATTTTTAAATAAATTTAATTTCTGGACTTTTTTAAAGCCGATGTAGCATTTTCGCTTGAAAAAATAAAAACCTCTTCTCTGCAAGGTGATAACAATATCGTTAATATGACAGCATGTGGAGAAATTAGTTTTTAATTTGTAAATGAAAACCGTGCGACAGACTAAAAAAATTAGGATATGAAATCTGCTCATAAATGAATAGAAATAGAAAATAAATAATATTGTGGTTAATTGGGTCGAAACTGCACTGGTTAAATCGAGAACTTAGAAGACTGTTCTTTTCTATTTTTACAGTTTTAATGAAATAACATGATATCCTAATAACGAAAGAAATAATTAAGGATTCTTAACTTTTGACAAAATTTTCCGGTAATAAATAAATAACCTTCTTGAAAAAAAGTAGAACAAATAAGTTGTTGACTTATTGTTTAGGCTTTCTGGTAGGAAAAAGGCTCCAATTGAGTAATTTCCAACAATTCCAGCCCAAATATTTACCGAAAACTGCTCTTGATGTTTAAATTCTATAAGGTTGTTCGGAAAGTCATTTCGTTTTTTCCCGTCAGAGGACTTAATTACGTTTTTTCGAAACCAACTTTACACTTAAGCCGCATAACCACTATATTTCTTGAGAGCTGATATTGCAAGGCTTGTTTGTGAAAAAGTTCTATTAATTCTACGCAGTAGTTTTTGGTTGGTGCCCTTTTAAATATGGAGAGCAATAAGCAGCATTTTCGTCATATTTTACTTTTTTACTTCAGAAAAGGTAAAAATGCTGTCCAAGCGAGAAAAAAATTGACGGATGTGTATAGAGAAGGCGTGTTAACAGTACGCCAGTGCCAGAACTGGTTTGCAAAATTTCGATCCGGTAATTTTGATGTCGAAGATGCACCACGGTCGAAGCTGACAAAGATGCGATAAAGGCATTAGTTGATGCAAATCGGCGAATAACCACACGAGAGATCCGTGAGAGATTAAATTTGTCGAATTCGACTGTTTATGGCCATTTGAAAGGCATGGGCTTAACCTCGAAGCTCAATGTGTGGGTGCCCCATGTCCTTACGGAGCGAAATTTGTGTCGTCGCGTTGACGTGTATGATTCGCTCCTCAAACGTCAAGAAAATGATCCATTTTTGAAGCGGATTATTACTGGGGACGAAAAATGGGTTGTATACAACAATGTTAAACGCAAGAGGTCATGGAGCAGAAAAGATAAACCGGCTCAAAGCGTGTCAAAAGCCAACATTCACCAAAAAAAGGTGACGCTCTCCGTTTGGTGGGATGTCAAAGGAATCGTTTTTTTTGACCTTTTGCCGGACAATACAACGATTAATTCAGAAGTCTATTGTCATCAACTGGACAAATTGAATGATTCACTTAAAGAGAAGAGGCCCGAATTAATCAACAGGAAGGGTGTAGTGTTCCACCAGGATAATGCGAGACCTCACACAAGTTTGGTCACTCGCCAAAAACTTTTACAGCTTGAATGGGACGTACTGCAACATCCACCATATTCTCCAGATCTGGCGCCTTCCGACTACTATTTGTTCCGGTCCCTGCAAAATTTTTTGGATGGCAAAACCTTTACCTCAAATGAAGATGTCAAAAACCACCTGAACCAGTTTTTTGCTAGCAAGGACCAAAACTTTTATGAGAGGGGAATTATGTTACTGCCAGAAAGATGGCAAAAGGTGTTGGACCAGAATGGCCAATATATAATTTAATAAAATATTTATTCATTAAACGAAAACTGTCTTTCATGTTCCCCAAAAAAAAAACGAAATGACTTTCCGAACAACCCAATACAACTGCATGGGGATTTTCATGGTTACTGTGGAAATTTTCGATTGCATTTCTAGAAGAGTTAGTAAATAGTATTTCTTGGTCAAACAAGGAATCATGCGTAATTTTGTCCAAAAACCATTGACAAAAATAAACAAGCAAGGGAAAATTTTGGCAAATAACGCTTGGGCTTAATATGATATGGGTACAATAGAAATTTTCTAAAACGTGCGAGATATTCAGATTATTTCCAATTTTTCTAAGAATAAGTTCAGGATATTCATCAATAGAATTTAAAACTGATTTTTAAATTTCTCAAGTTCTCAAAATTCCTGTTTTAGTCAACCTTCTACGTACATCTGGAAATGTTCTACTGATATAATCGTGTAGCTTCCAGCGCACTGTTATTAGCCAAACCACACATAAAATGCATATCTGTCAACTCCTTATTAGTAAACTCGACCATTCCTTTTTAAACTAACAATGCTCGGATATTTTAAACACCAAATTAGTAAGACCCGAAGAACTGAACTGAAAAATTGATGCCAAACAACTCTTAAACAACCACCTTGACAATAGAATTAATAATTCTTACATCCAGAACAATGATAAGAAATAATTACAAAGATTTTAAAAATACAACTCAGGGTTTATGTACTTCGCATTCGTACTTCGATTTTTTGAATTAATAAAATATAAATAAATAATAATAGGGCAGAGAAAAGAATCAAGAAATTTAATTTCTTTAGAAATGATCGGAGATTGTAAGAATACGAGAAGTCAGTGGCTTACTAACAGACAGATGGAAAAAAAA